CCACAGGCAGGGATTTGTTTCAAGCGATTTTCCATTGAGTTCGTTTTGAAGAGGTCATAGAGTCATAGCTCTTTGAAGTACTGTGGAATGACTCACTCTCCAGACAGTTTGCGATTGAGCTGCAAAAGATGACCAAACATTGGCGGAATGTTTGCGCCGTAGGCCCAATCACCCGCCGGGGCGTCGGCCCATCTTCCAGAGGCCTTCGGATTGTTGTTGTTGCCTCCCACCCAACAACCCGCGAATGTTGGGCCTTTTTGAGTAGGTTCCAATGGGCCAAATGGGGTAAAAGCCACTTTCCCATTTTTAGTCATGACCCCAAAAAGGGATCAGGTAAGGGGCAACTGAGGCTAGGTTAGCCACTCGATTGGGTTCCATGCCCCACTTGACAGGTGTCCGAAAGCTCACCGCCAGTGCGGCGGCAGGTGCCCGATGTGAAGCTCGAGTCAGAAGGTTTGTTGCCACGAGTCAGGGTCGAACTGGTGTCCCTTTTCAGACCACCCAAGAAGGGATCCCTCACAAAAAAGACACCCATGACTTGCATTGTTTGATAAGTCCAGGGAGGTGTCAAGTGGGGGTTGATCAATATTCCCTTCGGCCCCCCGTTTTGACCACGGGTGAATCCCCCCCCATTCAGTGGGAAATGTCATCTTTTGGGTGGTTCTCCCAATGGTCATCCTAGGTACCTTTTGATCAATCCCCAACGGTCAGACCCCGAAGGCATCAGCAGCAGAACAGCCTTGGGCCTCATCGTACTTGCCAGAGGCTGGACGGCAAGATGTCTTGCAAGCGCAAGGACACCGTAAAGCTTTGCCGCACATCGCAAGAGGATTACAGTATTTGTTCCTGTGTGTGTGTGTGTCTCTGTGTCTGTCTGTGTGTGTGTGTGTCTGTGTGTGTGTGTCTGTGTGTGTGTGTGTGTCTGTGTGTGTGTGAGTCTGTGTGTGTGTGTGTCTGTGTGTGTGTGTGAGTCTGTGTGTGTGTGTGTGCGTCTGTGTGTGTGTGTGTCTTTGTGTGTGTCTGTGTGTGTGTCTCTGCGTGTGTCTCTGTGTGTGTGTGTCTCTGTGTGTGTGTGTGTCTCTGTGTGTGTGTGTGTGTCTCTGTGCGTCTCTGTGCGTGTGTCTCTGTGTGTGTGTGTGTCTCTGTGTGTGTGTGTCTCTGTGTGTGTGTGTATTTTTTTTTATTTTCTGCTGTTTTGTTTGCTTGTGTATTTGTTTGTTCGTTCATTTGTTTGTTTGGTTGGTTGCCTGTGAAAATCAGAGGCAAAATATGTTGAAAGCAGAAGGCAGCCAACCCACACACTATGCAAACCGCTCCAGGTGCCTGCGACACAGGCGAGACGAGTCGGTGTTCAGTTGTGATTGTTCCAAGCCTGGAGTCGAGGACCAGGTGGGATGTCCCATACCATTTGCGCCGAGGTGCTAGGGGCAAGGTAGTTTCAAGGTGTAACTCATGCCCAGGTCGTTGCAGTAAGACCTCAGTTAGCGCACCCAGCCCAAAGGCTGCGAAAGATGTTGCTTTCCCCAGTTATTGGCAACTTTTGAAGTCGCTGCTTGTCATTCATTTGGGCATCATGTTAGAAACCGCACTTCTTTCTTGCTATTTGGGGTTGGATCTTTGGACTTGTTTTTTTGGGGGAATGCTAGATTTTCCGAACACGCAAAGTTGTTCACTTTCTGCAGAGGGGTCGTTACAAGAACCAACACTTGATCAGGCAGCAGAGGCTTGGTGACGAAGCCTTGCTCAGAAAGTGCCAGGCTACCTTCCCCATTCTTTCCAGGGATCCTTCTTTCTAGAAAGCCACCAAAAACCCTGGGGAAATGGCAATCGGTTTTTGAAAAGAAGGATGGCTGAAAAGAATGGAAAAGGCATCAACCCCTAGAGCCATGATGTGCAAAGGGTCCCCAATTCAACTTACCCATCATGGTCACGGTCATGGTCATGGATGGAATCAACGCCGAGAAAAAGTGCCAGGCTGGCATGGAGGATTCCATCGCCCGCTTGCCGCCGATGCTCTCCGCCTTCCCGCCGGTCTATGGTGGCGGAACGCGGGGGACCCCGGGGGGCCTCGGGCGCTTGGCTTGGCGGAGCTGAGTTCTGCCGGCTCCAGGCCGGATGACATGGCGGAGGACAGCCCCTGAGCTCAGAAGGAAACTCGGGCGCGGCTTGTTTGGGGAAAAACATATTGTTGGTTGGTTTGAACGGGAGAACTTGAAGGAAAACGGCAGCGCCGTTTATTTTGGTGGTGCGAAGCCTAAGAGGAGACGCGCCACTTGGCAGTTTGCCTAAGGTCCTGACCCACTCGGGGAGGCAGGTCACAGTACAAAGCTTCGGCTTGTTTTTTGTTAGTTTAGACGCGCAGGAACCAGCACAGTCACAGCCCGCGTCACTGCCGTGCACCCAGCTGGAATCACAAGATCGCATACAGGCCGAGCCAAGCAGTTTGCAAGCACGGAATGCGCAGGCCGTACTCCCTGGGAGCTGCAGAGGAGCTATGTTTCAACACGGTTCTGAAGTAGAATTGGGGGCTTGACAGATGGGCATAGGCGCCGTGTCTTGATGTTCTAGTTGGGAAGGCGGACGACGGCTTTGCCTGGTGCAGGGGACCAAGACACGCGATAGAATTCCCAGTGCCATCCAGTGCAAAACGCTCAACAAGGAAGACTTGCAAAACTCTAACTCCTTAGTGGTTCCCAGCCATCTCCTTACGAGTTTTGGTTTTCAGGCTTTGGTGGTTGAGTTTCTACTCAACCCACAAGTCAAACAATTTTAGAAGGGCATCGGTTTGGACAGCTGACAAACGAAAAAGGAGAAAACACGGAGAATTGTTTGCCACCACACTCGACATGATGCGCCCAAGACATCCAACTGAGTCGACGGCGGAGAGCCTGGCATGGAGAACAGTGGGACGCTTTGCCCAGGGCTGGGAAGCTCAGAGCAGAACCAATCCGCTTAAGCGATGTTGCGGGCAGGGTCTCTCTTTTGTTTGGGAGGTACCCTGTTTTGGGTTGGTTAAGAAAAAGCAAAAGGAACGCCGAAGCCGTTTTGGGAGGTCCGACCTTAAACAAGACACCCCCCATTAGCTGTCTCGCGATGACACCGAAGTGTATGCATACGGGCGAGTGCATGTTTGGAACTTTGTGATGCAAGTTGGTCACTGCTTTCTCTGATTCACTGTGAAATTGTGGTTCGCAGGATGATGGTCGACCCAACCAATGAGTGCGCTATGGCCGTTCCAATTGCAGATCAGGCAGGTTGCAAGCGCGTCCAAGTCCATGGTGCGTTCTGCAGTGGAACCGCACAGCTGCAGACATGTACTCAGCTATTCTGGAATCAGAAACAAGCGAGAAAATACGGTAGATGGACAAAATCCATTTCGCACCACCTAAGAAACCCTGGAAGGATGATTCCCCTGCAAATACCAACGACCAATGGCTTCAACCATGGCTTCTTTTCGTGGTGCGAAGGGATTTCGTAACCATCCACAGTATGACTAAGCCAATGGACAGAGGAGATGGCTGCAATCTCCATGACCATCTTGGCGCTTGACCAGCGCCCAGTGCTCAAGGCTGAGGCTGCGACGGCGTTTGATGAGTGCTGGGTGAATGATGCCAAGAACGTGGTGCAAACCGGAACGCGGAATGTGCAGCTGACCCAGTATGTGTTTTTATACCTTTCCCTGAGCCTGAGTGTGCCAAAAAAAAAGGAAAACGCGCATTCGCGCGCACACCAAGGACACTTCTCCGGGTGTCTCCTTTTTTAAGGGGGGGGACCCCCCAAAATGGATTTTTGTGTTGGTGTTCCTTTAAACCAACCCAAAAAAGCCTCTAAGACAAGACACACCCATCCCTAGATGTCAAGGTTGTGGGCCTGAGTTATCTCCAGTCCCGTACCTCCCGAGCCTTGGGAGGTCTACAGGGGCGAGGAGTGCCGTGCTCCGACGTGGGTCAGCCAGATGCCTTTGCACCCAGAGTTGAGCCAAGAGCGAGTGGACTGAAAGGATTTTGTTATTGAAGTTAGTTCAATCACAACTAAACAAAGTCACTTGAGTTTGTTGTCCATTCACCTCAGAAGTTTGAAATCGCTCATGCCAACCGCTGCCAACCCTACAATTGCTTGGCCTTTTATGGATTTATTTACTTGTCTACATCCCCAGAAATGGTGCCAAGGAGCCAAACCCAGCACAAATTCCACAAACACTCCGGACTTGCTGTTGATGGCCAAAATCTATTTCGCACCGCCTAAGAAACCCTGGAATGATGATTATCCTGCAAATTCCAACAAACAATGGTTTCCCATGGTTGCAGAGTGGTGGAGGATTTCGCCCGTCCAGTGTTGCTGTGGTTGCCGTGGAGTTTGTGGCTTGTCAGAAGTGCATCTCCAATTTGCTTGCATGGGAAGCTAAGCATGGATGTCCTCAGGGTCGGGGAAATGTGGCCTCCGGACAACGTTTGCCCGGTCAGCACCATGAGGCCTGAGTCACTTAGAGCGTCCAAAGCGCTGGTGGCATTTTCTGCTTTTGGCATTGGAAAGACGGCAGGGGAAATCAGCATCCCAGCGTCGTCCTGACCTCGCTGGCACCTGAGCTGGGCGAGTTTTCTCGTGGCCAATTGCTAGACTTTGGGCCATAGACTCCTGCTCTTGCACGGTGGCGTGTGCACGTCTTAAGGGACACCTTGCATCATAGTATGGCTTAGCCCAGTGGCTTGCCACTTGGCGCAGCTGTGCCGGCTGAGGCTTCCGCCAGACATGCAGAGGCAGGCCTGCCAGAACCCAAGGGCGTGTGGCCATGCGGTTCAGCTCTGAGGGATGACATCGACCCAGAAAATCCGGACGATGATGACTTTCAGATTCTGTGCGCTTGCGTGGACCTAAGGTTGACGCGGCAGGGTAGTGCGTGTTTCGATTGACACTCATTGCCGTGGCTGCGTGTACGTGAACGAAGGCTATTTGGTAAATGGAGGAGAAGATTGTGTCATGCTTAGCACTCCAACTTCAAAACTTCAGATTCTTCATTCGTGAGAGTTGAATTCCAGGCTTGGAGTTTGATATCTACAATGGCAACGGTGAGTTCTTTGGCCGGATGGGTCGAGATCACAGCAGGCCTCAAATCGGCCTCAAATGTGTTCCCGGATTCGTGTCAGCTGGTTCGCATGGAATTCGTTGCGAGGAAGTGAACCGGCGGTTGGAAGGGAGCCGGACGAAGGGAGCTGGGGGTATCCAAATTTGCATGAAAAGGAGCCTTTCAGAGCTACCAAGAGTTCTGTGAGGACGTAGACAATCCTGGCAAATCCAACAAGGCTTTCTTCAAGCTTCAACTAATTCGTGGATCTCGGCAAGGTGCCAGACAGGACTTATCCCGAATAAGTCATCCCTCAATAGTGCATATTACATGCGCAACGACAAGGCACAAAAACCGCCAACATCGGACTGCTCCACGCTAGAACTTCAATAGAACCGTAGACAAACGCTAGCCAGCCGAGGAAATAAGCAGCTTGCTGCGTGTTCCAAGAAATGGCTTCAAGACCATTCTGCGTGGCTTTCGTTTGACAGAACCTAACTGCAAGTTTTCGCGGTGCGTAGCGCAGGTCATGCCGCTTTATCATGAGAGGCGGCAATTATGGTGAGGCGCGATGATGCGTATTGATTTGCGGCGGTAAGCCGCTGAAGGGTTTCTCCCCAAGTCGGCTTGCAGTGGTCGATGCAGATTTGGAGGTCAGATACTTCATTGACGGAGTGTTCGAAGACTATGCAATCCTTTTCACCGACATGTCCCAGGACGGCTGCTGTGAAGAGTTTGAAAAAACTGTTTTTTGGGGATGCTACAAGCCCTGCAAGGACATTTTGGCAGATGGGGAGGCGTTCGACTCCTCTGAGCTTCCTTTCCCTGAGGCGTTGCTCGGTCACGTAGGTTGACGTATAGACCCGCACGGCGTTTTCGGCCTTGGAGTGCTAGCAGTGCTGGCACGGCACATGTGAGAAGTCGCATGGTGTGCAGAAGCCATGAAGGGGGGGTTGAAGCACAATCAGCCGGATTTTTAGTGAGATGCAATGAAGCAATGGACCAACTTTGGCTTTGGCTCACTTAAAATGAACCACTGGGCAAGGCTTGGATCCCCAGTGGTAGCTAGCTTTGCTGAAGTCGCCCTATATCCAGTGCCATGAAGTTGTCAGGCGGCGGGCTGCATACGCTTGAGAATCCACGGAGCTCAGCAGGCGGTGGATGCAGGCAGGTGACGTAAGAGAATTCAGAGGCCACTTGAGCAACGTCCTCAGAACCCGGGTAGATGAAGGTTCGGGAGGATCCCAACCAGAAGCGGGCGCCTTCGCCGCCTTTTGCCTTCTTTACCTGGCTCTGGGTCCCGACCATTTTAATGACCGAGTTTTGATTTTGACTCACCTGGACCTGTGGGACGGTGAAAATTCGGAGCACTTTTGCTACCCCTCATGGTGGCACGTACTCCAAAAAGGAACCGGCCATACCACATTTCCCCCCCCCCACCCACCGGGAGGATCTCGTCGTGACAGAGCTGCACCAGCCCAAATTCGCCAGGTCTCATTTTGACGATGCTCTTTTGCGCCTATGAGCTGAGAAGCCTGGGTGCATAGCACATCGACAAGTTCATTATTGAACAGAGCAGCTAAGCAACATCACAATGTTTTGCCTGTGCTTATGAGTGCTCAAGAAAGACAGAGATAATTGAGTGCTGCAGTTCTGCGGCATGTCTCACACAATCCCGAATTTGTACTGAGAGATTGAGAAATGAGCTTATAATGGATGCTCCTTGATTAGGTTCAATCTTAAATCTGGGCTTGCTGAACGTGCAAGTGCTTCTTGAATGAAGCAACTAACCTGCGCGCAAATTTTTGCTCGAGGGTTGCATATGCACAGCCTTGCTGCTGGCGGAGAATTTGGACATAAGGTGCCTAGTGCCTTGCAGATGCATGCACTCACTTGTCCAAAGCGAATGGACCTTTTGACCTGTTGTCTACCTTTTGTTTTTTCTATTTTGGGTTCCCATTTTTAGTCATGGCATCCAGAAAGTGATCACCTTTAAACTCCCAGGGGCAGGATGCAAGCTCCAAAAGGCTCGTGTGAGATGGCCAGGCGAGAGGCTTGCCTTGGTTCACGTCCAGAGCCAAGCGCCTCGACGAGTGGAGGAGTGTTCTGGGCATCCTGGCAGAGATCAAAACCGCCAGGCCCGCTGCCGAGTTTTCGCGCGGAGTGGCAAGCCTTCAGCGCAATGACAACACGCGCCAGCTGAAGAGTACGCAAATAGCCCCGAAGCGCAAGATGTGAACATGAGCATGTCCAACTGAAAGAAAGCACGGGCAAGAATAACAATCGGTCATGTTCGCAATGACGATCTGCTGTTTCTTTTTCGTGGGCCGGCGAGTGCAGAGCTTTGGAAACGGTGCACAGCCGCAGTTCTTGCAAGGCTCAGACCCAGCAGCATCAGCTTCAATGCAGTGGCCAGCGCATTGGGAGGATTTGCGCTGTGGGAACGGTCGCAGCTGGATGCTCGTCGGTAAAGGGGTTTTGTTACAATCATGAATCATAGGCGTCCTTTTTGGTTGATTTGGTTGAAAAGTAGAAGGCCCTGGTTACCTGGTGGTTCAATCAAATACCAGGGCCATCTATTTTCCCAGAAAGGACACCTATGGTTGCAATGCTCAGAATGCATGTGAGGTCCTGGCAGGTTTGCAGACAGAGGGCCTGCAGGCGGATGGCGCTTCCGTCGCCACGGTCATCCAAAATAGGCCACTTGGCTGTGCAGAGGGCTGCCATGTCAGAAACGTCAGGGTGAGTCACAATCCAAGTTCGGGTAGTTGCTGGGTAAGGGACAGTCCCAGCCAGAAATGGGTGTGGCCGCCGTTTCCATTCTGTACATGGTTCATAGAGCATTTGAATTCCGGCCGCTGATCATGACTCAGGTGTTGTGCACAGTTGCAGGCTGGCAAGAAATGAGTATTAATGAGGGAAAGCTCAACAGAGTAGAGTCGCCAGATTGGGGAGCTGAGCAGATGCCACCAATCACTCCCGAAAGTGCCCAATCACCCAACGCCCAAGGCTACAAGATTGGCCGTTGGCGACTTTGCTTGTTCATCGTGCCAGGCGCGAGCTTACATGAAGGCAGGCATGTGATAGGCCTCACTGTTGTTTCAGCGGCCTGCTTCGGTTCCATTGCGTCGTGAAGCCCGTTTGGACTTAGTGGCAACTTGTGCATGTGCAGGCGTTCCTTCCAGGTGACCTGCCTGGCAGCGGCGGTGTCTTCTGCCATCCTCGCATGCGGTCGAGCAAGGTGGGCGGCTGCTGAGGAAACACTTGAAGCTGCAAAGCGAGCAGGCTGCATCCCCAACACTGTGCCTGGCTTGAACTTATTCCAGCGATGTTTCGCTGCGTTTCTTGTTGGCAAAGCGAGCTGGCGACAAGGGGACCTCAGGTAACGGATGTTGACTCCCCTTGCTCAACAGCCCAGCGAAGTGGCAATCTTTGGTGCCTTGGGGTGTGGTATGGGGGAACTCGGGGGGGTCATCCAAACGAAAGTCGGGTTGCCTTCAGGCAGGGCAATGAATTTAAGGTCCGGTGCCTTTCCTAACAACCCGCCAGAACTGTGGCGCCCTCTAATGTTGAATTGGATTAATCCGGAGGAACGCACTGTTCAGGGGTGGTCCCCTTCTAGGGAAACGATCTATTTTGTTGGGTCCGACCAGCAGGGTCCTGTTCATCCAAAGTTAACATGACAGTACTTGTGTTGGTAACAGGGCCAAAAAAGCGCAAGCCAGTCCAGCTTGGGGCCGACACTTTGTAAGGGCGGCCTCGCAAGGAATCTGTTGCTGGCCCCGAATCTAAATACCCGCTCGACCCGCTGTTCTTGAAATTGTATCTTCAGAATCCAGGTTTTCCACTGCCAAAAATCATTATTCTGTCAGGGGCTGGCAGAATACCCTTGAAGCAACTGGGGTAGATCAGCTATAGGAACACAACACCAGAGGCAGAGGAGCATGCAGTGCAGACCCCCGGAATCACTTTGCAGCCAGCGCGCCTAAGAAAGCCGGCAAGGCGCGCCACTGCAGAGGGAAACGATCCTCCTGCACACGATTCTTGGCGCAAAGGCAAGCAAAGCGTTGCCGGAGCGGCTGAGGACGTCTTAGGCCTTCACTTGCCAAGCAAGTGTGGGAAACAGGCAAAGTTCAAATCGGAGCAACCCTGAAAAAAGCGACGCGTGCCCTACCACACAAAGGACAGGGCAGCAGAAACAGGCAATGAGATGGACATGCTCTCAGCAGCCTGTGGACTGACACATTTTCCTGCAATCATCACCACCCCACCCCAATGCATGCCAGCCGACTTCTCGACCGAAACCGCACGGTTTCCAGTCCGCAGGGGTGGACAAATGTTGGACTTGCTCAGACACTCAGAGAGTATTCACATGACCGCGAACCGCTTGCCTCCCCCTCACTGAGGTCCATCGCAACAGCTTGCTGAACTGCTTCGGACACTTGGCTTTAGGGCCGCTTGTCATAGGCGTCTGTGCATTGCTTCATGATTCTAAAATCAGGTTGTTTGGTGTTTGGATGTTTTGGTTGTTTGGGTTGCGTTCTTTCTTTTTGTTTGCAGGGGGCTGCCCCAAAAAAAAACACGATGGGCTTTTGTGCCTGCTATGGAAGGCAACGAAAAGTCACAAGTCGTGCTTGCGGCTAAGGGCAGAACTGGGCCCGGGCCATTCAGCTGGCAAACTGCCGTCCCGATGCCGCCTGACAGAAGCTAGACGTTCCTTGCCGGTTCTCACCAGGGAATGAGTTGGAATGACTCCTATCAACCATCCCCAATGGTTTCCTGGAAGGGATTTCCCAGGTGCATTCCCAAAACCCGCAAGGACATGCCCTACTGAGCATCAGCAAGGTTCTTGATACACCAGCGTTTGGCTGCGTTTTGCTCTGTGTTGGTCACTGGGCTTGATTGGCAGGTCGTGACATTCAATACCATCATGTCCGCGGCATCGCATCGCTGGCAGATGTCGTGTTCGATTTTCGCTGGTATTCTGCAGAGACGGCTTTTCCACACGGTGGTGAGCAACTCGGATGAACTGTGCCATGCAGATGCACTCGTTTAAGCCTGAAAAAGCTCCTAACAGTTGCCATCAATCAAGCCATGAGAACAAAGGCCATACAAGTGCCTGGCACATCAACATCCGATTGATCGCCCTTTTTTGGTATAGGCTGTGCACGCGTTAGGAGTTAGGGTGGCTTTGACCTATCGTTGGGGGGGTAGGACAAAAGTGCGCATCAATCCAGGTTAGTTTACCCCGAGGGATCCCAAAGAAATGAGTGTGATGCTTCACATGTGTGGTCGATTGCATGCTGCTCTCACTTTAAGTTGGACACAGCCCAGTTCGGTGAAAGGTTGTGAAGCGCCCAACACGCAAGCATGGTTGGGCATAGGCATATGAGGCTTCGGCGCGCTGGCAGCCGCCCTTGGCCCACATGTGTGGCGCCGGGCGCTACAAATACTGCGTGGTGGGGTGGAGCCAAATGCTGTGGTGATGAGTGCTGTGGCAGGAGAGCAGGGTCCTCGCTTCACGCGGATCGGGAGTTTCCATGAATTTCCACGATGCAAGCTGCCATTGTTGAGCTGAGCCAGGGCAACCTGCTGATATTTTTTGCAAACAGCACATCATTCTGCTCAGCCCACCCAACAGCTTGGGACGTCTTGGGAAGCTTTTCTTGGATCCTTGAAGGGCCAAGGGCGAACCTGACGTACGTACAATCGCATCAACTAACACGCATGCACATGCATGCACCAACACGCTTCAAGGACTAGACGTAGTTGAGCATCAACTAGGTGCAGTTGAGCGTGTGGATCAAAGTGGATCAAAGTGGCACACTTGGGGCAGCCACTACTGAAGTGGGCAGCCGCCCACACTGTTCAGGGTGAGCGCATGCAGAGGTACACGTGGAGATGCCCACTAAAACAAGGAGTGTTTCCCTCGTTTGACTTACGAAGAGGGTTGGCTGCTATTCTTATCAAATGTGCGATGGACTGCAGTGGTGCAAGGCCGTGGTTTCGCGGAAACGCCGAGCAAGATTCACGGAAGGCCCAAACCACAGTGTAAAGAATCAGTTTGGGTTCTGATTGGGCTCCATTGGGTTTTGTTCTCATGCAGGCCCTGGGACATTAGCCAAGCACACAGCGCCAAGACATGGCACCTTCAAAAGCAAAAGCAGCTGCAAAGCTTGTCCTGGACTGGGCAATCGCGGAGGCAGTTACAACAGATGAATAGCAGCAGAAGAAGAGTTTGAACAACCAGAGACGGAAGTAAATCTATATGAAGCAGAAAGCTCGCATCCGCCTGGGCAACAAGCTGTACAGATAGGCAGGCATGTACAAACTTGCAGGCAGATCCACTCAGTTTGCATCGAACACGCTTGTATCCCCAGGAGCTTGCAAGGAAGCCGCGTGGGAGCATGCTGCTGCGCCACTGGGCTCCCATTGCCTTTCAGGGCTCGGAGCTTGGTGCTTGGCTTCAGGCTCTCGGCCCAGAAGATGACCACGGCCATGAGTTGGCAAGGCGCAACCCGCAACCGGCCTGGCGCGTCGCGCAGTGTGGCGAAAGTTGCGCTGCAGGTGCCCTTGCCAGCCTTGGGAAAGACCCAAGGCTTTGCTTCATGCAGCCGGCCTGGCGCGAGGCACTGCTGGCTTCTCAGTTTATGGTTCTCACTGTCTTCATGCCGCGTGGCGTGCGTCCGCGGTTTTTGTCAAGCCGTGCCGAGCATGGGCTCAGAGCACAAGGTCTACACTGCTTGCGCTGGAGGACTATGGAGTTCAAGGCAGCATTGTGGCAATTTGCTCTTTGCTGAAGCCCTTGCGCGACGAGCAGTGCTGGAAAGAGACCTTGCTAAGCAAGGGCAGGTAATCGACCTGCCTGCGTTCTTGGGCCCAAAGGAGCCATCAACCCATACTGCACAGCACCGAAGCATGTTCGCATTCCGCTGCTTCCTAAGATGGCGTGCAGCTGCCTGAGGAAGTGATCATGCTCCTTTCCCGGAACAACAAGTGGGGCATCCAGGCAAGACTCAACATGGACAGTTCGAGGGATTCGCACCTCGTTGGTGCGCACTATGTTCAGCCCAGGCCACTTTCTAAACACTGTTGATGCAAAAGAAACTCCTGTTTGGGGGACCCCCCCGTTTTGGGTTCCACGCCAATTTGCAGGCTAGGCTAGGTGGGGTTGAACGTCCCTCTCTCTCTCTCTCTCTTTTATTTCTCTCTCTCTCTCTCTCTCTCTTTTGAGGTGATTCCCTATGACAATTTCATGGCCAGGGAGGTCGCTTTTTTGGAGGGTACCCTCAGTACCCTCCTCAAGGTTGTTTGAAAGAGACCATTTTCCAAATACCCTTAAAAATTGGTTATCTTCCAAAAACTGTGAGTTTTTTTTCGTAGTTTGAGGGTCCAAAGGAGAACAATGTTTGTAACGATTTAGCCCCTCAAACAAACAGCATCTGCTTCACAAGCAGACTTCTAAAGGCAAATGTGCCAAGTGTGCAACACTCAGTTGCCCCGTAGGCACCAATAAATAAAAGGCTGACCTTTTGGGAAGCAAGGATTGTTTGTTTGTGTATTTTTCCAGAAGTAGGGACCCCTCCAGGTAGGTGTCCTTTTGGTTTCCTTTTAAGACCATCCAACAATTTTGAGAAACACACGTTTGATTTTGGCCCAGATTCGCAAGAAGTGTTTGGTTTTCAGGGCAATGTGGCTTCGGATGGGCTTCTGGCCTCAGCCTGCCAGAAGCACTGGGCCTATGCCATACAGGCCACGCGCATGGGACGTGTGAGTGGTCCCCAACCGGAGATCCGTCTACTCGATTGATTTTTACTGTATGACTCCTCATGCGCAGTCATTGCATTGGCAGATTCAAGCGCTGCCATCGATTGTCCCTAAAATGCGAGCAAAGCCATGTGGTGTGCGGAGTTGTTTGCGCTGTGTATATTTCATCTTTGCCGCAGCACCCATTCCGCTGGTCTGCCGACAAGGTGATGGTAGTTTCCCAGGCGACGGGTATCAAGACAGATGCAGAGCTACAGAACATGGTCTCAAACGGCTGTGCCAAAAGCAGCCGCGCGGCGCAATCGCCGCGAAATCGCTCTGCAATTTGGGGCGTGTCTTTCTTGAGGACGATCTGAGGCCAATGGGCCTCGGCCTTGCAGCAGCATTCCCGCCTGGACCTCCAGACGGCCCGGAGCATGTTTGTAGGCACGAGAGGAGCCCACCGGTGGGGAAAACGAGCTCAAACCATGCATCCTTATCGCAGGTGTAGCCCCTCATTGGCAACAAGAACTCGCCGTGATGTCCATGCTCGAGATCTTTGGCTTCAAGTACTAGTACGGATGCATGACACGGTGTTGTTTGACCTTGGGCACAATGTTGTTTGAACACGGTGCATACTCGATTTGTGATTAATGTTCCACCATAGTACTGGAATGACGGGCTTTGCTCGAGCGGTTGTGCTGCCAAGGTCGAATGGCAAGGCATGTGATGAAGTCTATGCTTTGGCCGCTTCAGTGTGCAGCAGCATCAACAAGTGGCAGGCAGCGGCAAGCTTATTCAGGCGCGAAGTGCGCTGCAACACGCCTCGGGGCACCGTGAACAAATAGTTTGTGTATGTTGCATGATGATGTCTTTCCACTCATTGCTGAAACCTCAATATATTTCATGAGTGTCTCATTTGCAATGACATAGCTGCACTGTTATGCTTGGCTCAATGAAAAGGCAGAGCGCGCTTGCTGGTTTAACCTGGGCTGTTGGCCGAATTTACAGTAAGAGCCCAAGAGCATGGCTTCAGGACCACCTCAATTGTTTTGTGTTTTTTTTTTTTTTTCTTCGCTGTGAGCATTCGCAGCGTTTGCAACAATCTCGGCACATGATTGCACAGTCGATCGATATCAATCAGGCCAATTGCCGAGATGTGTTTTTGCGCCAGGCTGCTTCAGGCGCCTAACGAGCAAGTGTGCGCCGCAGTGCTGAGATCCTTCGCTGCCACTGGCAAGGTGAGACCGGAAGTTGGGGGGAAGTGGAATGAAGTGGATGGGTGTGGCATGTGGGTTTGTCTTCTGTTCCAAAGGAAATCCAACAGGACCACCGCCATTTTGCGAAATCTCCCAGAGAAAGCGCGCACACACACACACATGTTATTCTTGTTCTTCCCATGGCGACAAGATCATTCGCACGCAGGCGGAAGAAGCTTTGGACGTCCTGAGCTCGATGAAGCGCAAGGGCGTCCGTCTAGAAGAGGTACACATGGTCGCTTCTTTGACCGCTTGCACCAAGTGCTGGGCTGCTTGGTGATGAGTCGTGGAGGGCTTCGCGCGGGAAACTTTCCGGCGACTGCCTGGGTCTTCTATGCAACATGTGCAGCCATTGAGGTGCATGCTTTGCACTTGCTTCAGCGAAGCCAATGCGAAGCTTTGCTGCGCCAAGATGTTTGGCACGCAGGCAGTGGTAGTTGTAGATAGTTTTGCTGAGCAACTTGATTTTTCTAGGCGCCCAATGCACTTCGAGCTGGCTCCATCAATTGGAGCTGCTGGCGAACGCCCCGCCATTGGCTGAGCCTGCGGCTAGAGGTGCAATGTCAGATGTGACTAGGAGATGAATGCATGATGAGTTGATCATTTGAGACTTTGAGGCATGCAACCGTCCAGCCGGATGTGACGGCGCTGGCAACCATCGCAGCCAAGACAGCTGCAGCGATCCTTGGCCTTCTGAAGTTCTGGGACGGGGCATGCAAAAAGATGAACCAGAACACACCCAAACCTGACCTGGTTGGGCTTTACATTTGTTCTGTTGCTTGCTTCATATTCAGTGATTTGCAGTGCTTCACAGGTCCCCGCGTGCAGCTGCATCACTCTTTCATCGTGTGGAAATGCGTCTCTTGGATTGCCTGCGGACTGGAGGCCTGGAAAAAGTGCCACCATGGATGTGGGCCGTGCGGAGTGAACGTTGGTCGTTTTCTTGCTGGTGTGCTAGGGAAAGTGGGAATGAACCTGCAAATTCCCTTAAAGGAAAAGTGATGGTTTGTAGGGGTGGTCATTTCCTCATTCCCTGCTGACCAGCAAGTTTCCCTTTGGCTGGTTTTCACTTGCTGTCAGGCTGACTCACGCCCGTATCGGAGGACCACTCGCGAGCGAAGCACGCGCAGCAAGATCCTGTTTGTGGCAATGCCGATGGCTGCCCTGCACCGTGAGCTGATGAAGGTGCACTTCATGATCGATCCTACCAGGAGTCCACTTCTGGCATGGCCACATTGCCAGGGGAAGCATGACACGGTCGCGGCCGGATCAACGGATGCGGAGTGAGAGGCTGCACGGCCCACGGGCGCCTCCAGGTGATTCTATGGAAGCCCCCCAGGACCTGGGAAGTTCGTGTGAGGCATGTCTATGTGTGACCTACAGCCGCGCTCACGTCACAGGGCTGCAACCCGCAAGGATGCCCAGGCAAAAAAAGCAGAGAGGGAGTTTTGTTGGAGCTACCAGGAGATCTGGCTTGGGACATGGTAGGACAATGACTTGTCAACAGTCTGTCGGTGTTCAGCACGTGCTTGGCTCAGCTCGGCTTGCATAGACATTGTGACTGAATGCCTGCTGCAAATCGGCGCGAGAAACTGAACTTTTGACCTTTGGCAGCGTCGCAGGCATTTGTACAAGCAGCTTGGCAAGGAAAGGCATTTTTGCACACATGCACGCCTGACCTGAAAGCAAGCAGCAAGCATGCAAAGGCATGTGCGTTTCCCCCACGCCATGAATGCAATTGAGTGCTTTGCTCATCCAACAGCAGAGCGCACCCCGCACTCCTCCGAATTCCAAGCATGAAACATGTTGATCCCCACGCTTTCCAGCCATACCCGCGCTATACTGAAGCAGACTGCGTGGTGTATGTGTTGACGTGTGTTTTTTTCGGCGTATGGCCACGAGCGCGAGCGTGAGCTCAGTGAGCTCCCTGGCTGCCTTGAGCCAGCAGATAGAGGAGAGCCGGGCACAGCAGCTGCAAGAGAGGTGCCTGGAAAGCTGTAGGTGTGCTTTGATCGTTTGGTTTGGGTAGAAATAATGTTGACCCCAGATTAATCATTCAATCCCAGCTTATTAATATGGGGCTGGGGGGCCCCTTCTCCTTGTAGCTCACTCTCTTGTCCACAGCGAATCGACATGAAATGACCTTTCGGTGTCCCATTTTGATTCCCATAGTCATGGCCCCAAAATGTGCCAGGTCCTTTGAGCAATTGAGGTTAGTTTGGCTAGAAATAGATGGGTTTCACTGGTTTAGATTGTTGTCATGGCCCATTTACCAGGCAAACCATCTTTTTTTCCAACAGGTCGCAGCCGCAAGAATGTTGATGTGGGTTTGTCGATGTTCTCGAAGGTATCTTTGGCGGGCAAACGGAAACCAAAAGGACACATGCTTCTTTCTTTCCTTTTCTTTGCTGGGGGTCCCGTAAAAGAAAGACACCACCCTCTATGACTTGGCACGCACTTGTTGGTGTATCCAACTGTTTGGACAGCAGGCCTACGAGGGATTTGATGGACGTGGTTTGTGGGTTCTTTCTATCAGGCCAGATTATAACTATGGACGCCCACTGCATCTTTGCTTCATCCCTCCCATTTTCCAGTGTGCATCGCGGCACATGCCATCCCTGAAAGGTCAGCAAGAGCATTGGAGCTGATGCAAACCGCTGTGGAATGGAAGTCCTGGGAAGAGCTGCGAACCCTGACAAAGGCGTTCCAATGCTACCTGCAGGAGTCGGGTGCCAATCGCAATCCGTGTGCTGAAGCTTCACGGGAATAACTAGCTGGTGATTAGGAGGGAGGGTATTTCAAATTGGTTTTTGAGGAGCGGTTCAGGAGCTACCGATCAGAGTTCTGGTTAGGCGTGATGAACCAGGGGTCGTGCCAACCGACGACATCAGAGCGCTCACCTTGCCAGGAGATCCGGGAGACCGACCAGCAACGGAAGCGGGACTTTGAAACGTGCCTTGGTTGTCATTTGGACAGCTTGGTGCTAGCTGTTGGAAGGGAGCCGACGAAGGGAGCTGGGGGCTGGGGGTATCCAAATTTGCTTTGAACAGGAAGCCTTTGGGAGCTACCAGGAGGTCTGTAAGGACATGCTAGGGTGACCGTAGAATATGCAATGTCCGTTGGCAAAAACGATGGTGACATTTTGACAATTTTAGGAGTCTATCTCGGGTCCGTGCTGCACGCGACCAATTGGCCACTGCCAAATGGCACAAGGAGGAAGCAACCAGCGAGGTGCGGCTGTGATACCCCATGGTTTATGGGAGCCAGTGGCATGCACTTGTACGAACGTACAGTTCGTTTGGATCTCATATAAACAGACACATGTCACTGTTCTTGGCATGTGTTGTGGTTTTTTGGTCTTTAGGTTCTGTTCATTTTAGGTGTGGGGGGGGGGGGGCAAGAAATATGTTTTTTGCTACCATACCAAGGGTAGTGAAGCATAGGTATACAAGGGTATTATAGATAAATTGTAATGCACCCCTCAAAATTTCACCGCATCCCGGCCATGGATTTGGCCAGGTATGACAACATGACCTTAGCACTTGATGTATAAAAGCAAGATCTCCTGTTTTCATGAAAGGTGTGTGTGTGTGTGCGGTGGCACGCGAACAGTTAAACAAGTTTATTTTCAGAAGTTTAAGTGACGAGACTCACAATGACTCACATGAGCATTACTAGCCTTCTCGGCAGCTTGACACAACAAATTTAGAAATGCGGAATAATCAGCAAGACAACTTGAGGTTCTAAAATCAATGTGTAGACACTTGACCAGGGAGACCCAGTATTTTGAGAACAATCCTGCGCATGTATGAAGAGATCCCTTGCAACGACTTCTTGAAATTTGGACACATTATTCATGACAAAAGAGGAGCTTTGAAGATGTCTATCTAGCCTCTATAGCAGTTGTCATTTCTTGATATGAGAATCCAGCACGTTTTTACATGCAGGTTAAATTTGCTAGTATTGGCAGCAATGTTGACTCTGCTCATGTCACATCCACCCTTTCCCAGACATCACAATTTCTAGCGTGTTTCTCCCGATGCGCCTGAAGGCATCTTGGATTTGCGACATATTCTTAAGGCAGATTGAATCACTACAGGTACACAGTTCCAAAGATCCTGATTTCTCAGTAGGGTTGCTTTTGAGTTTACCAACCGATGACACAGCCCACTTTCCGTGCCTTTTGTGCGGTTTGAAGCGAGCGCCCTCACGGAATTCGAACATCTTCATGGCGCTTCAAGGCTTCCTGAGTTAGATTGCAGATTCAACAGCCAGCGCTCTGAGAGTGTTCAAGCTTTCATCTCGCATCTAAGAGCACCTTAAGGAGCTTCAAAGCAAATGCATGGGCAGATGCTCAAATTTGGGAGGTATGAGAGGTGGGAAATTTGTCCACACGGAATTGAACTGTTTTGTTTGCAAATCTGGGTGCCTCACCTTCATCAGATAGCTTTAAAAGAGCCAAGAAGTAAGCATAGACGAGCCTGCAAGTGTTCAAGGGTGTGCAGAAACGAGCGGCTTGCTTTTGTTTTCTAATTTATTGTGATTGTGTTTGTTTTGCTTTTGTGAGTGCGTACATACCTAGAGTTGACATGCCAGGCCGACATCATGACCAAAGACAATGCTGAGTTGCGTCGTCAGCTTCAGTTCGATGCGCGGCAGTTTGTGGCTTTGCTTCAGACGCTTGGCTTTGACTCACAGTCACAGCAGATCACAGCAGAAACCAGCCCAACATGTTTACATGGTGCCATGGCGTTGCTTATGTGAGTACTTATTTCCATGACAAGCGGGAAGAGTGCGCAGGCCACACTGCTTGAAGCGCGCACACTGAACAGTGACAGTCAATAGCACCCTGATTTGCTGCAGTGAGGAGCTGTGCGCATTTGGAGAAGCAGCTTGCCGTCCTAAAGATGCTTGGCAGCCTGGGGAATGCTTGCAATGGGTATATTCCGGCACAGTTGAAGCGATGCCTCACCTGTGGGCTTGCGTATGGCGTTGAAGCCTTGTGCCCTGAGGCAAGCTGACGACTGCATAGCTGAAGATGAAGGAGAGGTTGCTGCCTCCAGCCCACAGCCCGAAGACCTTGAAGGTGAGCTTGCTGCCTCCAGCCAGCCCGCAAAAGCAGACCCCGGCGCAAAGTTCGCCGAGGCAACTGAAAGGGAAGGCGCACCCGTTGCAGAGACAGCGGCGGAGACGACAGCAGAACTGATGTCCCCCGAAGGAGCACCGGGTGCTGCGCAGGAACCGGCTCATTCACCAAGTGAAGCACAGCCTTCCGATGTTTCCACGGCACTTGCGCCATCACCGGCGGCCTCACCACCGGCAACTCCGGGGCCTGCTGCCTCGAAGCAGGCAGCCTCACCAGACGTCGAACCACAGCCAGAGGCAATGGCGACGGAACCCGCGATCACACACACAGATGTGCAGAAGGACGCGATCCACGTCCTGTCGACGCTCGCGGAGCTGAAGAAGAGGCCATCGCCTTTTTTTCCATTTGCATTTTATGTGGCGAGCTCACCGATTCGGGTGTTAAAAACGAGCAGATCCTTTTCTTGAGGATCCTTTTTGGTACAATTTGCAGATACATGCTTTAGACTCCACAGGAAGTTTGCCTACCTCTCACTTGCTTGAGGTTTCAATTTGTTGCCAGTTCAGAGTTCCACAATTGGGTGTGTTTTTTGCAGGGGACCCCCCAAAATTGTGATTTTCCTCTTGTGTTCCCTTCGAAACCACCAAACAAGGGGATACCCCGAAAAATAGGCAGACCCTAGGATCGCGGCCTTGCAACGTTTGGTCTGAACATCTCTAAGCGTTTGGTCTGATTGGGTTCGGCTGACAGCAGGCTGCAGCTATGTGCACCAAGGGCCTCGACCTCAGTTTGGCGGGACATCACTGGTTCTCAGCAGGGAGATTGAGGGAATGACCTATGGTCTCCCTTAAGGGAATCCCTAGGTTCATTCCCAAAACCCTGGGTCATCAAGCACCAGCAGGTTTTACTGCAAGAAGATCATCTCTCAAAATAAGCCTATATGGGGTGGTACCCACAACAACCCCTGAAAGAAGGAACCGCATCTCCGGAACCCTCCCTGAAAACCTGAAAGCTGCCCCAAACGACCCCTTATGGGCCTGTTCACCCCGTAGCTTTCAGCTGTTGGGGGGAAAAATCTATGCACCACTTGCCAGCTCCTTTTAGGGATGCAGTGCGTGGTGAGATGGGTATGGGCGGTATGGGTCAAAATTAACCACCAGGGGACCGCAGGTTTCAGTCCTTGTTTCCATTCACCAGGGTTCCATTTTGGGTACCGATTTTTGACCCACAGCCACATGGTGTTTGGGTGACGAGGATGCATCGATTTCAACGTGCGATGGCACTCCTGCTCTGCGAGATCTGGCAAGCCCCGGCAACACACTTGCAGAGGAGGGTGTCATAGAAGGGTCGCTGCCGGTGCTCAGTAGGAAATGAGGGAATGAACCCAGGGCTGCCCGCCCTTTAAGGAAACCATTTATACGGGTTCCCTCATGTTCCCTCATTTCCTGCTGAGCAGCAGCAAAAAGGTTCAGTATGACATGTAGGTGTCTAAAAAAATAGGAAAATGCCAATAATTGTCCCTTTAGTTTCGAGAGGGCAATGTTGGTGCAGCTGCGCCATGCCTTGCTCACAGGACGCAGAGGATGCTGCCAGCGCAGCCGACACTGGGGCATCGCGGACCAGCGGTGGCTTGTCGCACGCTTTCGGGGGGGGCCCGGGGGACCTGCACATTGCTTCTTTGAACTTTACTTGTGGCGGCCGCTCCCGGATGTTGTTGACATGATGCATGACGTTCAACATGTCATGACCCTTGGGAGCCAAGACATGCTATGAGCAGATTTGAGGGACGGAAGCACGGCATACAATGGAAAATCTGACTTCATGGTGGCCGTGACGCGTGCCAGAACCGCCGCATGGCCTCAGCCAAGAGCCCCAAGAGCCCACACCACAAGCTGGCCCGGGACGTCAGGCCATGCCGAGCCATGCTTCAAAGAGCCATAGTACTGGCAAGTGGTCGAATCAGGTCCTTTAGCCACCTTTCGTAACCGAAGAACTGGGCACAAGGTTGAATGAAAAGGACTTCCTAGAGCCTCCTAAGGGCACAGGTAGTCTTTAGACACATGCAGTCCTAAGTCACACGCATTCCTTGGAGGTGTGCTCAAATTGCCAGCATATGCTTGTATTGTCGCGAGAGGCATGAAGGAACCAGAAAGTGCAACATGCGCAAATTACAAAACGCTGGCCTGTCAACCGCTGTCCCAGCTGGGGGGTGCAGCCAATTGCAGGAGAGGCTGCAAGCCACACTGGCATCACCTAGCACGGGCCTTAAGCAGGGACATGACGGCCGGCTGACAATGATGGGGAAACGCAAACGTAACAGTCGGGCAATCTTCAAGCAGAAATGCTTGCATTCCAAAGACAAGAAGACTGAACACATATTGCGCAACAGCACTGAGATTTCGTTTGGCAGATGATGAGGTTCCCTCAACTGTTCGAGGCAAGTGCTTTTGTTCCACTCGCGTTGCGCCTTCGCTCCTTCGCTGCTTCGCTGCTTCGCTGCTTCGCCGAAGCGTCGGAAGCGTCCGAAGCGGGGGGTTTTGAGGTGACGCCGAGTCTTCGCCCCTGCTGCGGCCTTCAGTGCTGGCAGCCACGGAGGCTGCCCGCTGGGCCCGGCGCCTGGCGTCGAGTCGCCTTGGGATGAAGGAGGCTGGAGGTCTAGGAACACGTGAACTGAAGAAACTCTGGCAGCTCCAAGCCAGGAATTGGATCGTCTTTTTTTGGGGTGCCCCCTCTTTTGGAGCTTTTGGTGTCATGAGGGGCGTACTGCAAATGTGATGGCGACCGCATGTTCGCCCTAAGCAGCTGGACACAAGGCCGCAGTGAAGAATCTGCCAAAGGCCGGAGACAGGGATGAGAGGCACACAGTGTCAACTAGCACACTTGTGCAGCACTGGTTGATAGGAGCAATTTGTCAAAATCAATTCTACTAGATGTCCTTCTGCTCATCTAGCTGTCGCCCCCCGTTCGCACCAAGATTTTGTTTGGGGCTCATTCCCTGAGATCCTTGACTTTGAACTTTTTGGGAAGACCAGTTTAGGGGTAAACAAAATGTTTGGACTATTTGTTGGGCCTTTCTTTTCTGGGGGAAATGCGGGGTGTTCGCTTTTTTGGGGGGACGCTCTTGGCCACCCACATCAAAGCATCCACGCGGTGAGTGGGCTGAGGTCCCTTTTCTTACTCATAGGGCCCAGAATCTCAGATCAGCTGCAAAGGATTGGCAACAAGATGCAGGTGCACGAGAAGTGAAGTTTTTAAGCAGAACTTCCATGAAGCAAGTTGAGCTGTGCATTTCGTGTTTCAAGAAGAAATGCATTTCATGGTAAACCGCAACATGAGGAATATGACCAAGGACAGAACCATGGGCCTGAGCAGGTTGTGATTGCGCCAAAACAAATCGCAATGACCAGACGCATGTTAGGAACTGTCGAAAAACAGGCTCGGAACGGTCTTAAGATCGCGTCACCGGCATGGACGCACGTGATGTTAGCATTCATGAACCCATGAAGTTTGCACATTTTCCTGGCTTTTTGCGCATGTCTTTGTTGATGTAATTCGCTGTGCAACCCTCGCAGCAGCATTGGGGTGTCAGCCACAAGCACAAGCTCGCTTTTGTTTGTACATTCTGCCCGCACATGCGTAAAATATGTTTGTTGCTGCGTGTTTCGTTGCTCATTGGCTTGGCTGCCTCTCGGCGTGGGTCCCGCCAGTGCACCAGTCCAGCCAGCAAAGCCAGGCAGAAGTTCCTCAACAACCAACAAGTCTAATGATTCTAATGTCACAAACATGTCAGTGTGCAACATATTTCTCTTTCGGCTCACTGTGCGGATGTCAGTAAGCACGTGTGCGATTCATTAGCCAGTCAAGCGACCAGCTAGACTACTTAAATAGGTACCAGGTAGTTGGTTAAAAAGTATATTGACTTGTCACCTAGGTAGCTAGCTGGTTTGCTAGTAAATTTGCCTTTTATGTAGAAAGCGCTTCGTCAGTTGACAAACTTTAGTTGGCCAGCTCTCGATTTAGTTATATCTAATCAGCATGATCTAACTAGCATGGCCCTCAGAGAATGCGGTAAAAGAAAAGAAGCCATACAACAAATGTAACTCGTTAGTCATGGGTTTTGGAGGGATGGTTTCTTATAATACCACCAGTACAAGCTTGTTAGGCAGTTTCTTTACCCCGAATATTGCTTGGTATTTAACCTCCACTTACCTCCATCACTACCTGAAGCTATCTAAAGGTTTATTCTTGACTCCTTGAACTGTACACCTAATTTGACAGCCTGAATCAACCCCAGGAGAAATAGGGGGGTGGGGGCCTCTCCAAAAGTATTTTAATTCCCCACTAAACCCAAGGAAAAGCACACCCCTATGAATAAGCTGGGGTTGACTAAGATGGCTCTGGGTCAAAACCAATGGTACCATGTTGGGGTAGGTGCACCACCAATTTTAGTCTATTTTAGTGGGGATTGGGATGTTCACTGGGGGGTATGGGATTTTGACCCATGGCGACATAGGGTTAACATTAGGAAACAAACGTTGCTTCGGCCAGTTTGAAGGGAGCGGGTGGGCCGAGCCTTGCAGGCACCAGCTTCACTCCGAGCCGGGATGACGCAGGAGGAAGTTGAGCGGATTTTTATGGGTGTTTCTATTTCTGTTTCTTTCTTCTTCTTTTTATATTTTTTTTTGGGGGGGCCAAATGGGTGTGTTCTTTTAAACCACCCCAAGAGGGTGCCCTCAACTCATCTGGGTGCCAAAGGGAAAATTGATCACCCCCCACGTCGCAGATCACGTTGTTGCATTTCGAGTCCTCCCGCTCCGGGGGCGTCCGGAAGGACTCGGAAGAGGTGGCGCGCACCTCGAGACCTTCGCGGTACATTTCGTATGTGGCGCTTCGACCGCAGTTGCAGGGGGAGGCGACGCGTGGCCATGGCACCTAAAAGGCGTAAAGCTTCAAGAGGAAGCAACACATCCAGGTACCCTCCCGCAGGTGCCATGGCAGCGTGGGAAGGGTAAATGCCTCAAAAGCAGACCATGGCGCTGCTAAGGAAACACACGGCCCTCACAGATAGAAAGCGTGCGCGATGGATCCTCAAAGGCACCAATGATCACCAATGAAAGCTTGTTTGGCTTGTTTGGTTTTAATGAGCGGTTTGACCTTATTTTCCCAGCTTGCTGCAAATTCGCTGTTTGGAGGAAGCCAGGCTTCTGCTGTAGGTTACTCCTATTCGCCCATCCGAATTGATGCCCAGCGGTTCGCCAAGGTACGGGGCCAAGTCCCAATGGCTTTGGAGCCGATCACGTCCGGCACCCAGACCCGGCAGCCTTTCTACCTGAGGTCCTGAACTTCCGGCCGTCGGCACCTCTCACTTCCTAAGTTCCGGGACTTGAGCCACTTTTCGGACAGTTGGACTATATTTTAGCGGCAGGCAACAAGTGTGGACACGTTTTTTGGTCGCCAATCCGCTCAGGAAGCTCAGGATCCAGCTTTCTTTGCATTTCTATTTCTGCCGATGTCTGTTTCGGTAGGCGGGGGGATCACGGGCCTTTTTTGTGTGTGAATGACGCGCTTTTTTTTTCGCCAGAAACGAAAATGAAGACCAACTCAACATGTGTGTGAATTCCAGCTTTGTGGAAGACAAAACCCTCCGCAGGACAAAATCAAGCGAAGAACACATTGGTACATGCTGGTGAAGATGTAGACAAACATGAAACGTGAATTGGCATTTGGGGCTGAGCGACAGTTTGCCCGTCATTTATCGGGAGCTGGATTTTAGGTGTCGAGGTACGTAAAGCGCCAGTGATAATTCTGCGAAGACGGGCATGTCAGCGAAAGCGGACACGGGAATTATTCCCGCATAAAAGTAATAACATGTCGGTGTACCTTTAGGACTTAGCTTTTAAGCATAACTGGAGTTAGAGCATGTCTTTTGGGTTCAGGCAATGCGGCCAAACATTCGCATCCATCGCCAAACAACGCCGATGGGATTTTTTGGACACCCCCGTAATTGTTAAAGGAGAGGGCTCTGTTTTTTACTACCCTGGCTTTAAGTCCACTTCGGTGTGGTCAACAAATAGAACCCTGGTTAAAGGAAGCTTCAGTTTAGGATGTTTAGGGACTCACCGCCATGGTTCTGTTGTGCAAAGCACGTCTTTTTTGCCGTTCGTTTAAGCTGGCTTTGCAAAGGATGGCCGCGGCAACTGTATGCAGCCCCAGGCGGTTGCAAAGCTGCCATGCTTAAGTTCCTGTCTTTTTTGGGGGAGCCACCTCAGAAAGTGATTGGTGGACATGAATCCCCACCTAAATGATGTCCACCAAAGGGTGCCCAATTGAGATTCATAGCCATGTTGGTCCCATGGGTGTGTCCAAATATGTTGGGGCATATGTTGCGCGAATGTCTCATGGCCAGGACTACTGCATCCGACCACAGCCCAACTCGTCCAACAGGCACATCGCAGACGATTGCTGTTGCGCTTTGAAAGCTTGGGTGTGAGTGTGGCTCGAGATTTAAGAACCAGCGGACCGCAGGGTTTAGTCTACTTTCCATTTGCCAGGCTTCCATTGGGCCCCTTGGAGCCACACCCATGTTCCTTGCGATGAAACTGTGAGACAGGAGCTGCAGGCACGGCAGAGCCAAGCTATGCTCGCAGGCCTGGCTAGGCATCAGCACTATCGCGATCCCATGTAATGTGCAGGCCATGCTTGCACCATTTGGCGCGGCACTGGTTCCTTCGTCGAATGTCGAATAGATTGGTTCAAAACCTTTGGTGATATCGTTGAGCTCCCTGCTAACTGTTGCCTGCCAGCTTTGGTTGCAAGCTGATTGCTTTTGTTGGTTCTCTCTCATTCTATTTCGGTGTCCGCCTCATTGAGTGTGCAGAGGACTTGGGGTCAGTGAAGGCCAACTGACCAAAAGAAATCCATGCGATCCATGCGGGTTGCTCTATTCTTATGGGTTGAATACCTGAGACCTAAAGAAACCAAACAATTATCTCTCCAAGTCAGTCATGGCGGTCATGCATGAGATTGCCTGCCAGGCCAGTTCCATCAGCTGTGAGTGCTGCACCACAAACTCGGAGAGGCCACTTCTGTTTTGTATGACCTTGAGCTGTGGCAGCTTGAATCATTGAACTGTTGCAGAAGGTACGTGCCAGAGGTGTTGCACATGTAGATGTGGACGTAGGGGGGTCATTGTGAGGTGCCTGGCCGCAAGATGGGCGCAGCCCAGCAGGACGGGCCGTCGGAAGGAACGGCACATGCGGCCTCAAATTGGAAACGTACTGTGGATGGACCAATTCCCTTCGCACCACTTTGAAACCGTGGTTGAAACCATTGTTAGTTTGTATTTACAGGGAAATCGTATCATTTCAAGGTTTCTCAGTGGTGCAGGATTGCGTCCATCCACAGTAGAAACCTTCACTGTTGTCGGCATGTGGTTAGATGTTGTTTTTGTCCTGTTTATTTTTGGTCCAGACATAGCCGTAGCCTTGGAGTTCCGAAGCGGTGCCGTATTGTATGAGGACTCGTTTATCCATTTTTGTCCCGCTGGATTTTGATGTGTCCTGTTGGTTTTTGTGAAGTGTGTGTGTGTGTGTGTGTGTTGCCTGCTGCTGAATGTGGCAGCACGCTTCAGCGCCTCATGCTGCTGCTGCTGCCGCTGCTGGTTCTGGTGCTGCTGGTGCTGCTGGTGCTGCTGGTGCTGCTGGTGCTGCTGGTGCTGCTGGTGCTGCTGGTGCTGCTGGTGCTGCTGGTGCTGCTGGTGCTGCTGGTGCTGCTGGTGCTGCTGGTGCTGCTGGTGCTGGTGCTGGTGGTTCTGGTGCTGCTGCGGCTGCTGCTGCTGCTGCGGCTGCTGCTGCTGCTGGTTGTGCTGGTTGTGCTGGTTGTGCTGGTTGTGCTGGTGGCACAAAACCAACTGGACCCTAACCCTACCTTAAACCGACGCCAAACCAGCCGAAACCCACGCTACACCCATCTGAAACCAAACCACCCTACATGCACCCTACATGCACCCTACATGCACCCTACATGCACCCTACATGCACCCTACATGCACCCTACATGCACCCTACACCCACACTACAGCCACTCTAAACCCACCCAAAACCCACCCCAAACCAACCGCCAAGCAAGGTAAGCCCCCCTGAACCCAGTCCAACTGACCCCAACCTCCAAGTCGCAACTGCGCAGGCTCACCGGTAAGGCTGGGCTTGCCCAACACGCCAGAGTCTCCTGACAAGCCCGGGGCCAAGTCACAAGGATCAGGCACGAATCGTGGCCAAAAACAGTGACAACATGGTTGAGGAGGTGAGTGCACTTGTGGGTGTGGCTTGCAGAAGCCGCAAGGGATCATGGCCAGTTGATGTTCAACGTGATTGTTCATTCTTTTTGTAGTGCATCCCAGAGTGGTTCGACACCACCAATGTGGGAACGCCAAAGGTCAGCCCAATCAGGGCAGACCAGCCAGCTTCCTGCCAGCTGCTCAGGGGAAAGGCACTTTTTGTTTGCAGACTCATCACCTTGCTGGAGCGATAGGTAAGGAATGACCTTCCGGGTGTTGGGAATGAACCGGAAGGGGATTCCTTGGGAGGAAACTATCTCGAGCATGGCTTCTCTTGGTCACTCCATTTCTAATTCCCTGGCCATCGAACCAGCAAGTCACTAGTTGGCGCGAATCCGTGACCTGCGCTTCCAAAGTTTGTGTGTGCTTTCTCCTTTTAGGATTCGGCGCCTCCCCCCAAAGCGAAAATACATTTCAAATGGTGTTTGTCTTGGAAGTCAGTTCTCCTTCTGGTTGACACGCCAGTTCAGAGTTCCACTCTTTGACTACCTCAAGATAGGCTTAAACCCAGGGGGTCTCCCTTTGGGGGGAAGGAACCCTAGGTTTAAGTGTACCCTAGGGTGGTCAAAAAGTAGAACCGTGCGCCAGTTTGTTTGTAGAAGGTTCCACACCTTCCACCCCGCCGCCTCGCCGCAGCCGAAAACCTGAAGACCGCCTCGCCTGAGGCGGTGCCTCCTTTGCCCCAGGCAAAGCTGTCGTTTCACACTCAGCGGCTGGAGGTAGGGTAAACCTCATACATGGCTGAACCGGGTTTGTTTTTCTCTCATTGAAAACGAAACTGGCGGTGTTCCTTTTAGTTTCCCTGAGTAAGGCAATAATAAGCATGATTGCTGAACCTTGCCTTCTTTTGAAAAGGGAACCCCCAAAAAGCGGTGGTTCATGCTTGCTGAATCGAGGGTGGGAACCCCCCAAACTGGTGGTTTCCTTTTGGTTTTCCTTTGGAACTACTCCAAAAGGGGCACCCTCAAAGAAATGCCCAATTCAGACACGGCGCTTGTGTTGATTTGGGCAGCGCATTTGGGTGACCCAGGCCCCAACGGGCAGGCCTACAGGAGCCAGGCCAGCTGCGGGCTGCAAGGTAGAGCCAAATCCAGAAGCCTGCAGTCTTTGGGTGTGAACTCATTCTTCCTCACAAAATCAGATATTTGTAAATATGCATCTATAAATGGAACAAACAAATGCACATATATATATATATATAGTTATACATACATGCATGTGAGTCGTCCGAAAAAGGTCCTGGTATTGAGATATGAAGGGGAAGACCTTTTGGTTTTAGCGTTGACCTCGACAGTTCCGCGAAAGAGCCCGCGAAAGTTTTTCTCGCGAAGTTTTGTGCAAGGGCGGCTTGCCAGCAGAAAGCTGGAGTGACGAACCGTGTGTATTTGCCAGGAGTGCGCGCAGAATGCACACAGACTAAGCTGGTCGGGGAAAGCGCGGCCAGAGGGTTGCCGCGAGAATACATCGCCGCAAAGGCAGCCCCCAGCAGAAATCAGCTCGTGGGAGATGTTGAAACTTTCGGGTCAAGTTGAGTGCAGCTTTCCAGCTAGAATTTCGCAAATCATTGGCGTAAGATCCGCGCAAGTTTCGCCAAAGTTGATGGACCTCCCCGCCAGTTTCCTTCCGAACATGGGCGGCCAACGGGTCCCCCTGCATGCTGCTGCACGCCTTTTGAGCTGGAGCTGCGGAAGCGCGTCCCGCGCGCTACTTTGGAACTGAAAGGTGCGACTTTCGAGCTGGGCTTCTGATGTTTACCCCGCGTACTACTTTCATTTTGAAAAGTTGCGACTTTCGAGGCGGGGCTGCGGAAGTTTACTTCTTGTGTACTGCTTTCGTATTGTAAAGCTGCGACTTTCGAAACGGGGCAGCGGAAGCTTACTTTGCGTACCACTTTTGCGTTGAGAAGTTGCGACTTTCGAGCTGGGGTGTACTACTTTTGTATTGATAAGTTGCGACTTTCGAGCTGGGGATGCGGAAGTGTACTTGGTGCACTGCTTGTCTGATATCGTTGTGAAAACAGCCCCGCCAACGATACACGATGGGTCTCTCGCGATTTGTTCTTTCTTTTTTTGCAGACATACATACATATATATATATATATCCTGGGACCCCATATGTGCAAGGGTCAAAACACGTTATGTAGAGGTCTTCATTGCGGCCGCCGTGACATAACTGTTTTTTGAAAAACATGTGTGTAGCGACAGGGGGCCTTGAGTAGCGACACCCCTGTTTAGGGCTTGCATGTATGTAAGTCCCCATGGAACATGTTTGTAAGTACCTTTTTACTTGCATGGGAACGGAAGTACGTGCTGAACACATCGTGGAAGTCTAAGTCCCGGCTGCGACGCAAGACAGGTTTGAAGGATCTCGTCTTGGCAGTTTGAGCGTTCCAGTTTAAGAGGTGCTCCGTCGCCTTGGCGGGGACAGGCGACGATGCAAGCAAAAAAGAGGCACTGTGCTTTTGAAGTAGGGTTCCGGCAGCCCCTGGGAAAAAATCCGGCACCCGTAGCGACACCCAAAGCGACACCTTTCAGATTATGGAGCGACACCCAAAATCACTTCAGGTAGGCAGTTGCCCCTTCGCGTACTACACTTGTACTACAAAGTTGCGATTTTCAAGCTGGGGCTGCAGACGTGTACTTCGCGTGCTACACTTGTACTACAAAGCTGCGATTTTCAAGCTGGGGCTGCGGACGTGTGCTTCGAGTGCTACACTTGTACTACAAAGCTAGGAGCATGTCCTTGACGTAGAGGAGCCGGCGGGAAGTGACCGCCCCGTGTGTCGAGCAAGCACTACCATATCTTCCGCAGTAGCCCATGGGGAAAAGGCATGAAAGGAAGGAGGTTGAGGCAAGCCTCATGTACTACTTTGGTGCTGAAAAGCTGAGACCTTCCAGCCGAGATGCGAGAAATGAGCTGGCACTGTGTGCAGCGACAGGGGGCCTTGAAGAGCGACACCCCAGCCAGCCATGACAGCCAACCACAACACATGTTTTGACCGCCGCACATATGGCCGTTTTTTAGGTCATACGCCTTTGACCGAAAAAATGGCCATACGGATTTTTACGGTTTTTTTTCAACAACATGTCGAAAACATATGGGTTTCATACGGGTGATTTACGCAAATGACCGAAAAATCATGGCCATACGGGCAAATACGGCCAAATACGGGAGTTTGACCGAAAAAAACAGCCATACGGGGTGCCAGGATATATATATATACATCTACCGATGTGGATAAATGCAGGTAGCAGCTGTGGGTGATTGCAAGTGAGGCCCAGCTGGCAAAGCTGATCTCCAGTCTCCTCGCGGCAAGCCGGCCGAAGCGCGCGCGGACGCCTCCTACGACCGTGCCTCAGATTTCCGGGTGCAATCCAAAGCGAATCGAGCTGAAATGACCTTTTGGTTTCCCAATTCTGGTTCCCATTTGTAGTGGCAACCCAAGAGGTGATCTTTGTTTGTTTTTTCTGGCTCCCCAAGGGGCAACTGAGAGTTTGTAAGAAGATGTCAGAAGTAGGTGTGAGCTTTGATCATTAATAAGCAGAGTTGTGCAACTCTGATGCTGCCATGCCTACGTAAGCCTCACGGCATGCAAGACGTTTGGCTGGCTTCAACGCTCCACACTGCTTCCAAAGGCATGGGTTACTTGGTGGGACATGAACATAAGCTCTCGGGATCTCTCGGGCATGAGAGCGCAGGTGGCCACCATCCAGCTGGTGAAAGACCTGAACCGAGGGAAAGTTCCAAGCGCCACTTCCAAAATGCCCTACAAGAAGGTAAGGCAAGATGAGGCGCGCAGATGGCAAGGTGCCTCGCAACAAGTTCGGTGCAATGCAAGTGTGGCAGGCCAAGCCGTTAGAGTACATGCAGTCTGTAAGACACATTTTCGCTGGCTGCTTGGGTGCAACGCCCAACGCCACTCGGGAAGGTTTAGCGCAAAGCAGAAGTTCCTGAGCAGATGGAGCCTTTTGCCAGTTAAGCTTGCTGCTCCGCCGCCAAAAAGCTTCCTGCTGCGCTGTTTTTTGCGGCTTCTCTAAACCAAACCCTGAACACCCTAACCCTAAAGGCCGCCCCAAATCTAATCCCGGAAAGCCCCTCGAAAAAACTAACCCTGAACCCGCATGGCAAATCGATTGGGGCGCATGTCAAAGCTTGTTGCATCCTCAGCGAGTGGCAGTTTGTCCTGTTGGCTAGCCGGAACTCACGTGAACTCGTCCTGGAACCCAGGGAGGTCGCTTTGAGAGGAAGCTCATGTAGCCTGCCACAGATGCCATGTTTGTGGGAGGGTAACAACCACAAGCTTGTCGGTGGAAACTGAGCCAGGTGAAGCAAGCGGGAGTGAGCTTAGCGAAGAGCCCGTGACCTTAGCCGAAGTCATGCTCAAAGGGGCCGTGTTGGTGGCAACATGTGGCAACTGCAATGGCTCGTCTTTCTTTTGTGTTTCTGTTTTTTTGGTACCAAAAGGAAACCAACCATTTTCTGGTGGGTGCCCTAAAACATGAAACACCAAAAAGGGGGGTAACCCACCAAAAAGCGAGCCAATTGGATTGACTAAGACCGTGAGCGCCCAATGAAGCGGGACGACGACACGAGGAGAGGCTTTGGGCAGTGAAGCCATGGTCGACACGTAAAACATGAGTGGTTGTTCTGAGGATGGACCCAACAAATGGGTGGTGTTCTTTTCGGTTACCCGCGAAACCAACAATAGGGTACCCTCAACAAAAGACAGCCCCATGAAAAAGTGCAAATTGTCCCGAGCTTATGGCAATCATCGTCGGTGATTAGTCAAAAGACGATCGGGCAGACGGAGAAAAGAAAACAAGCTGTTGGCACATCGAGTGGCGATGTGACAGCCGCTTTTTGCCGGGCTGACGCAAAAGTCACAAGGGGGCAAACATGCCTTGGAATCATATAATGTGCTTCGCCCAGGCCCCAGGTTTTCCCCTCATAGATTTGGTACACTTTGCTTACCCGTGTTAGACGCATGGTGTTGTATTTTTTTAGCCATGGCAGCCATGGCGGGCCGGGCTTTGGCACTTCCCCCAAAAAGCCGGGGACAGTCCGGTTCCAGGAGACCTCGAGCTGGTGCTTCAGGCGAGCGGCTTCATTGGCTTCACTGGTGGCAAGTTGTTTTAGGTTTTGATGTTCTTGGTGTTTCTCACTTTGTATTTTTTTGTTTTGTTTGTGTTTTTTTTAAGTGGGGAGCTGCAAAAGCAAAGCTTTTTTTGCAAGCTCATTCCAAGGATCGTAAAGTAAAATGACTGAGGTTTGGATGAATTGGGCCTTGGGCTTGCTGACTGACGGCTGGCTGGCTAGCTGTTGCTGCTTGCTCACAATAGAAGTCTTGTAATTTGTAGGGGTTGATTCCCCATTCTTTTCAGCCATCGTTCTTTTCAAAAACTGATCGCCATTTCCCCAGGTTTTGTTCTTCTCTAGAAAGAAGGATCCCGGGAAAGAATGGGACAGTTACCCTTAGATAATTAATTTGTTTTGCCCCGGCCTCATCCATTTTCCCCCAAGCCTTGCCTGCACAAATGCGACGCACCCATTGTGCATTCTTTGCGCGCATTGTTCGGCCTAGTCTTTCGCAGCGTAGCCACTGCATGTCCCCAAACCTGTTTCTATTCGCAATCTTCGTGCTCCAGCGTGCAACCCATGCGCCCAAGAGACATTGTAAAAAAGGAGTTTGGATGCTCACCGCAAGCTGGGTGATCGCTCCAACCATGCCTTGCGGCGCCACCAGCCCAATCTGCGGCGCGTGCCAGCCTTGCGGCAGGGCGGCCGTGTCGTCATGCCAAGCCAGTTAATTTTCATCCCTCTCCCCAAGTGATTCTTAGGATTGTGCATTTTGCAAATTCAGTTGCGGTGGTTTTTTGCACGGGATGATGCATTGCCCATTGCTTCAGCTCGTCCAAAGATTCCCGGCACAGCCTTTGAAGGGTCGCAACATGGCTTTGAGAGGTGCCACCCACTGCACTGGCGGTTTGCCAGGCGATGGTTGCACGAAGGCCAGCCAGCGACTGCAAACGAGAGAACGGTTGGAGAGCAAAAGGTTCTGCCTACGATAGTTGGTGGTTCCCAGCCATCCCTAGGCTATTAGCTTTTTAGTGTTTGCTGGGGATTTAAGCTGTTAGTGGGGGATCTGAGGACAGCCGAGGATAGCTGATGTATTCTTTGGGGGAGGTTTAAAGATTCGGTCCAGAGCGCATCCGTTGGATCCAGGCATCCCTGTAGAGCGGGGCACTCAGTCGAAGAGAGTCCTTGCAATTTGCTTCAAGCGTGAGTTGCGTCAACCGAGAGCCAGTGGCAATCATTTCAAGGCAGGACCCCGCTTGTTCTGCAACCCGCTTAGAGTTCACGGGGCCTTTCTTCGAGCGCTCCAAACCACTGGTGGTTGACTCGGAGCTGAATTGCCTTTGTGTTCAGATGCCAGATGGCCGAGGCAGAACCAATGCATCCCGTCAAAATGACGGCCATTTGTTTTGCCCAGCGCAAGCTGCAAGAGATGACCGGCTTCGGAAAGGATTTGGATCGTGAGAGCTTCAGAAATCGTTTCGTGCAAAAAGACTATATTTAGCTTTCAAGCTTGGGATGGGCAAAATCCGGTAGGAACGGAGCGGCGCACTGCGGCTCCAGCATGGTTGATGCCGGGTCAAAAGGTAGATTCTTCACCGTGCACCAGGGTTTCGCGAAGCCCTGCCATGGATTTGTTGCTCTCACTCCACTCATTTGGGTGCTGGTGCAAAGCCGCAGAACCATCCAAATGGGGTCCGGGTTTCCGGGCTCAAATATCGAAATGGCGATTACCGAGCAAGGAACTTAAGCAGCAGAAGTGCATGTCAGTTGGTCAAACATTGGTTTAGTATTGGTTTAGTACTGGTTCTAAAGTCGCCTTCTCTTGCGGCGAGTTGGGGTCAACGTGACATTTGCTGATTTAAAGTTGGTTTAGTTTTGGGGAACTCTAGTTCAGTGGGAGATTCGGGGTCGAACAACACATGTATATATAATATATTGGCAGGATGCACCGGTTTTCCTCGCCGCTAGGAAGGAGCCAAAGAGCTGGAGCTGGTATCAAAACGAGGTTGCTTTTAGCCAGGGAGTACGGGAGGTCCAAGTTGCCTAGGCGCCAAGTTTGTCAGGACGGGGTAGGTGTAACCTCCAGAGCCGGATCGATGGTTTCAATGGACGCCTTCGGAACTTCGGCTCGAGCACGCCGGGCCTTGAGCCAACAGCCGAGGCAGCCACATGTATAGCTCCATATGACCCCTCTGGCCCGGATTTCCCATGCCATAACCGGCTAGTTAACCCATAGGGGTCTCATACCAGAACTTCATATATGGACGTATACATTCAGCACTTGACAGACTCAAGAGAGCAGTTTAACAGCCTTACTGGAGTTGGCTGGTGGGATGCCGAGCTGAAACGCAGAGGCCATCCGCACATAGGGATTTCCATGGATGTCATGCACAAAATGATTGTGCCAGCTAGCTGGCTGTGAAGGCGTGCAGGGGCACTTCCGAGGCCCAACATCACCGGCCAATGAAGATACTGATTTTATGGCTCAGGTAGCTGGAATCACGTTCTGCTTAGGCCTCCCTCGTATTTCGAGGTTGCCGCTTGCCGAAGGGGGGGAGGGGGGAGGGTGTTCTCGGCCTGCTTTCAGATTGAATCTCCCCGATCATGAATCTCCCCGTTTTTGTTTCTTTCTCCATGTGCTTTGTTGGTTCCGCTATTTTTGGTCGGGGGCTGCAAAACACGAACTCTGTTTCTTTCGCCACAGCCCGTAGCGTTTGGGTTGCAAAGTCGAGCTTTCATGCGTGTGTCCCCCAGGCACGAAGACCGTGCGCCCCGCACCCAGAAACAGGCAGCAAATTGTTGGCTGTTTGATGCGGATGTTGTTTTTTTGGGGGGGGGATGTTGTACATGGGTTCATCCGGTACGGGTCGGTTCCTGAATGTGGTTTGGGATTTGAAGCCCTGGTTCTCGAGGGTAAAAGGGAAACCCCCTCAACCTCCAAGCCCGTTGTGGATTTGCACATGGGTTCAGTTGGTTTCAGATCTTTTTGGATTCGGATTTGCACACGGGTTCCATTTTCCCACACGCATTGTGACTTGACTATGGCGACCATTCCGCGCTCAGGTCATGCTGGCCGCAAGCCCACCAGCCCCACCCAGCTTTCCGCTGCCGCCTGGCCCACCCTGCCCCCCTGCGCCGGTGCCGTTGGTGGCTTCTGCACAGGCGGGAGGTGGTGGAACTTGGAGGGTTCAAGCTTGCAACTGGGTTAGACTTTTGGGAGGGGGCCCCAGAATAAGTGGCGTCCCTGTTGCATGTTTCCTTTAAAGAGAAGAGAAGAGAGAAAGACCCATCCTCGGCCGGATGGATGAGCAACCTACTGCCCGTTGCCAACCTACTGCGCACTATCGCTGAGATCCTCCGAGGCTGTTTGGCTCCACACAAAAATCATTGAACGCAAGAGGCACAAAATTGGCTCCATGGGTCATTGCGCACATGTTGCAAAGCAGTGAGCCTGCAGAGCCACGACGACCAGCGCTGAAGCAGTAAGCAGGTAGTTGCTTGTGCTCATGTGCTCGGATGACGTCAGCTTTCCCTCGGAGATTCTGGCTACAGGATTTCAAACCTGCAGCCGATCCAGCGGTCAAAGCTGCTGTGCTCTACATGAGCCTCCGACTCGTAAGGGTGCAGATCAGCGAAGGAAGCATCGCCAGCTGGCGATTCCTTCGCTTCCTAAGGATTTGCAGTGTGGGCATGGTGGTTGCCAACAAGGACTATGGCACAAGCCATTGATGGGCGGGCGGCAGGGGGTGACACTAGGTTGGCACTGCAAGCCAAAAGCAATTTTGGCCTCCCAAACTACCTTGCATGTTGCAACAATGTTCTCACCAAGAACCGGATGTTTCATTGACACAGAGGACAGGATGTGCAAGTTTGGCACCGACACGTCGGTTCTGCTTTCAACTTGGCCCCTAAATAGATGACCGGAGCTGCCAGGAGGCAACTTCCAGAATAGGGGCAGGCACCATTCTGCTGGCCCTGCAGCAAGTAGCCACCATTGTAGCTGCCTGCGTACCTTGGCGAGTACAAGCTGCCTTGGCAAATAGGGTCCGGCCTAGAAAGCCGTGCATGCGTGCACACATCATACACATCATAGCAACCCTCACCGTACCAAGGCTTCGGCTGCGGAAAATGCGAACAGACATGCCCAAAAACGTCGTGTTTCGGCACAGGTCAATTCTTGGTATCAGCATGCTGCAACTGACAGATCACCCTGAAACTTCTCAGCAGCACACAGCCTCTTTCCTCCTTCAAAAGGCATGGGGGATAGTGTATGTGTATATATATATATATATGTATATAGATATATTGATATATTTGGGCACCTTGGAACATTTAAAGTTGAATGTAGGCAACCCTAAAGTTTGCACACTCAAACCCTGAGTCTGCAAAAGTGGTTTGCAGTGTGAGTGCAAAAAGTGGCAACTCACACGTAGGGCGCCACAAAGTCGCCTTGAAAAGTGCAGCCAAGCAACCCAGCAACCGACAACAAACTAACTAACTAGCCAATGAACTAAGTACCCAACAGACACAAACAAACAAACCCAACCAACAAAAAGCGCACACACAAACAAACAAACAAAGAAGCAACCGAACGAACCCGCAAATGAAAACACACACACACAAATACACAAACAACAAAAGCACACGTGCAGACACCCGCACACGCACACGCACACGCACATATACACATACACAGACACAGAGACACAGAGACACAGAGACACAGAGACACAGAGACACAGAGACACAGAGACACAGAGACACAGAGACACAGAGACACAGAGACACAGAGACACAGAGACACAGAGACACAGAGACACAGAGACACAGAGACACAGAGACACAGAGACACAGAGACACAGAGACACAGAGACACAGAGACACAGAGACACAGAGACACAGAGACACAGAGACACAGAGACACAGAGACACAGAGACACAGAGACACACAGAGACACAGAGACACAGAGACACAGAGACGCACAGACAGCACAGACAGCACAGACAGACCCACAGACCCACAGACCCACAGACCCACAGACCCACAGACCCACAGACCCACAGACCCACAGACCCACAGACCCACAGACCCACAGACACACAGACCACAGACACACAGACACACAGACACACAGACACACAGACACACAGACACACAGACACACAGACCACAGACCCACAGACCCACAGACCCACAGACCCACAGACACAGACCCACAGACCCACAGACCCACAGACCCACAGACCCACAGACCCACAGACCCACAGACACAGACCCACAGACCCACAGACGCACAGACGCACAGACGCACAGACGCACAGACGCACAGACGCACAGACGCACAGACGCACAGACAGACGCACAGACGCACAGACGCACAGACGCACAGACGCACAGACGCACAGACGCACAGACGCACAGACGCACAGACGCACAGACGCACAGACGCACAGACGCACAGACGCACAGACACACAGACACACAGACACACAGACACACAGACACACATACACATACACATGCACAGACACCCCCACCCCCACCCCCACCCACGCACACGCACACGCACGCACACGCACACGCACACGCACACGCACACGCACACGCATGCACGCACACGCACGCACACGCGCTCGCACCCACACACACGCACACAACACAAATGATGCTGGATAATGTTGAGCAACCGGTTATGCACCTTTTGGGCATTTGATTAAACTAATCTGCAGATGGAGAGCGCCATCCACAAGCCGAAGGACGAGACAAAACGGCCAAGCCAAACTAAGTTAGCTGAAGCTGAGCAAAACCTGCTTGATGGGGCAACCCCCCCAAGACTAGAGACAATGCAATTGTGTTTGCCCAAGGCAAGAATAAGAAAGCACCAGAACACCCAGGCAATTGCAAACCGCTGATTTTGCACGCTTTGACGAGGTCCTGCTTAGGATAGCCCTACCACAAGCTCGACCAGCGTCGGCGAATTTGCGGGAGGAGGGATCTTTTTGGTGAAAGTGCTTTGCCGCTAAACCCAGGAAGAGAAGAGTAGACTGTTTACTGTCCAAGACAACCAGAGGCATAAGGTTGACCCCAATATGAATCAACCCCGGTTTATTAATAGGGGGTTGTCCCTGGGTTTAGTGGAGAATCAGGCAACTTTTGGAGGGCCCCCGCACCCCTATTAAGAAACTGGGGTTGCTTAATATGGGGTCAACATTAGCTTGCCAGCAAGGTCGGCTTCGTGATTTTTGCTGGCCAAGCCAAGGTCTTGCACATCCTTGGTGCCAAACCAATCCGTGGCACTTGCAAGGAAGTCGTACGTTGGGCGCCCATCGCGTCACTTTCTGGGCTCGTTCTATGGACAGGAATGCAAGCCCTGAGGCTTGTCCAAATCAGTGCACTGAGTGTTTCTCAGCCATCCCGTTCCTTTGGTTTGTTTGTGTTCTTTATTTGGTTTCGTGCTTGGGTTTCCATTTAACCCACAAGCTAAACACACTTTTCGCAGGTCAGAAAACGTACAGACTGAGGATGTACACAACATTGTCCGCTTTGACTGTAATTCGGAATGCGAGCCCATTGTTGCTGCTGGGCGCTGAGCGCCTGATTTTTGGCGTGCCCTTCACCAGAGACGACTTCTCCTCTTTGACCATCATTTTGATAGGCGGGGCCTGAACCGTGAGCCGGCTTGAAGCTGATTAGGTGTCCACTGGTTGTGTTGATGGTGTCCGGTCGTGTTCCAGTTGATGTTTTGGCGTTGCAGCCAACAGAACGCCTCCAAGAACAGAATCAGGACCACAGGAACACCACCGAGGAACCACCGAAACAGCCCTGGAACATGGTCGGGACTCCACAAAAAGGCACCAGGACAGCACCAAAACCAGACACAACACCAACTGTTGGTGTTTTGGTCCTTGCTCCGATGGTGTCCCAAAAGCTGCTGGCTCAAACTTTGGTGGAGCCTGGTTGCCTAACAGGGTGTGTCGTAAGAGGTTGCGATTTGGGTAAGTCTGGCAAGGTTCTAGGGAAGCATACCTCAAGCAGGCTTGGCTTGTGTGTTCTGAGAGTGGCGGGAGTTTCGAGGCAGAAAATAAGGGCTGGTTCTGTCGCTATTGGGGTCCATCGTTTTTTGCACATCCTGACCATGCAGGTGTCGCGATCTATTGTGCAGATGACATATCGTCCCAGGCTGACGTGCTCAACATCCCTGTGACATCCACATGCATCGCAGCGGTGCCATAAAACCGCGTCCCTGACAGGAAGCCCTTGGAATATTTCTCGTGGTCTTGGACGCTGTCTTTGTTTGTATAGATCGCCTGGCTCAACGATATTTGCTGCAGGAGCCGCCCGTTGCCTTAAAAGCCGAGGATCTGCACGAGAAGTTCAAGCTACTGTGGATGGCTGCGAAATCCATCCAACGCACCGTTCAGAAACTCTGGTGTTTGATTCCCTGAAATACCAACAACATGGTTTCAAAGGGGTGCGAAATGGATTTCGGCCATCCGCAGTATTGGCTTGGCGCTCGAAAGCATTGCACTGAAACTTAAAGATTGGAGTGGCAACACCAGAGTAATTATTTAAGCGCTGGAAGGGCAATGCCCTTGGCAGCGTTTGGAAAGCCTATGAGCCTGAAACTGTTTGTCTGCAGAAGGGTTGCTTGCGTAGTGTTAACCTAGGATGAGTGAAGCTGTGGTATGAGAGCAGCCCGCCAAGGCCCCCCGAATACTAAACAAGGAACATCATCTAAATACGTTTTTTTTTTTTTTTGAAAGAAAACATGGTATTAGAGCGGCCCTCAGAAACGACACCAGAATTCAGGAGGCCACCCGAAATGAAAAGTTTAAATTTAATTCCCCAATAATCCTGCCTGGTGAGATATATATATATATATGTATATTAACCTTGCTGACGTGTGCTTTCCATTTGCTTTGCAATGCCAAGAAGAGCTGCCAGTGTACCAGGACTTGCACTAGCACAGCCATGAAGCATTGCACGCCAATACAAACATCAGCCACAACTCTCCGAAAAGAGAACATGTGGCTTTCTGAAAATGCATGTTCCTGAATTAAATCCCTCTCAAAAAAGGTCATGGTTTGAGAAGATCACATGAGTGCCCAGCCCATGTTAACAACATGGGTCCCCATGTCGCCATGTTATTATTTCGGCCATTTGGGCCGCACCCGATTCTGAGCTCCAGCAATTCCAAATCAACTGAAAAGTGAAATCCCACAATGCTGAATCATACTAAATCAAATCGACACTCACATCCAACAATACCAAATCAAACAAGGGGACTCCCAAATCAGATTCAGAAAGGAAGCTCCAGCAATACTAAATCAAATGGAAAGTAAAATCCCACGGTACTAAATCGACTTGGCACTCAAATCAAATTTAAAACGAAGCTCCAGCAATACTAATGTGAATGCCACTCCAGCAGCACTAGATCAAATGGAAACAAGGACTGAAGCTCTTTTTGGAATCCACCTGGAGTTAGGGAATCCTCATTCCCGATTCGGCAGTAGTCTTGCCCAGTACGAAAGTAGCATTGCCGAATACTAAAGTCGACCTTCCAGATTACTTCAGTGACTGGATTTGCTTTCTTGGCAAAAAAGAACCTTCTGGACCTTCTCCGGAGGGGGGGAGGGGCGGGGTATTCATCCAATGTCAAGATTATTATGTCAAACTTCGACTTCAAGAATGGGACGTTGGCAGACCACAACAACTGCTACCTACTCCAAATATCCACCTTTTTTAGGGTACGGTAGGGTATGATGGCAAGGAGGTAATTTACCTTGGAAACCCGGGTTTGTCAATCAGACCCTTAAAAAGCGGGTATTTGGAGTAGGGGGTGAATATTATGTCACCTGGCAACCCGAGTAGGGTGCAAGCTTCGGAGAAGCTTCTTGGCCAGGAGCAACCTGTGTCGTTGTCATCCTCCGCTTCTCGGTAGGGAGTTGCTGCATTCTTCCGTTTGCATGGCGAAGAATGTCAAAAACATTTGATCCATGGGTCGCTGTTTGGCCGTCAGAAAGTCGAGGCATTGGTTCTGGTCTCGAACATGGTGGGCCTGGGCTTTTCGCTGTCCCTCCTTTTCTACCCAATGCATGCTGAGCTGCACGAGGCCGGAGAGCTGATTTCGGATTCGAGTGGAATCGAAGCCGCCAGGTGCAGTGGAGCATGGCCGGCTCGACCTGGGCTGCGGCTTCCTGCATTGGAGGCAGGCTGGCTGAGGCTTTCTGGTCCTTACTTCGCGCAAAACTTTGGTGCATGTTGCTTGGATGTTAGGGCTTTAACTTACCAACTAATTGGTTTTCCAGTAAACAACTAAAAGTAAAACGTTTAGGGGGGGAGAGCAACCGCACAATATGAGCTCATACATGTGTGGCTGGGCTTCAGCGAGAAATTATTATGTTCCGATTTGTGCCGATCTTGTGCAAACTGAATGGCTCAGGTGCGGCAATCGCCTATGCGGGAGTTGGCCTTTCCCGGAATTTGAGCGCGACAGGGGCCCTTGTCGTTACCAACATTGACACCTGGCCAAACATGCTTCATGTTTGGCTCCGCGAATGTGTGGCAATCAACAGCCACAAGGTGGCTGCAAAAAGTCCAGTGGTTTGCATATGCTGCATGTGCAGATGTCTTAGGACAAAGTGCTGGTGCTGTGCTACGGCGTTTTAATGTGCCTTGTGCTGCATTTGCAGGCGCTCGCATTTTTTTTACAATGCGTGAATGGGTGAATGGGTGGGGACTGCTGGGTGGGAGAGGTTGTGTGTTCTATGTTGTGTTCGCGTTTTTGGGCGAGTGTTTTGGTGCTTGGGGCACGAGTATGCGTGCATGTGTGCCAAGTGCACACATGTTCAAATGTAGCTAACCCAGGCTGGGTGACCACTTCGATTCCCTGAAGTTGATCGGCTGCATCTTTGCACTGCTGGGAGGCAAGAGCTGTCAACCTAGAAGGATGTAGCCAGCCAAGGGTGGTGTAGCCTTGAGCCAGTCAACACTTGCTCTTGCTTCAAGTCTCATGAATTATTTGTCATGCAAACATGTGCTTTGTTTTCTCTCACCGCAAGGCCTTGTCCGAACTCTTAATAGTCGACCCCAACAATTGTGACCGGAGAGCGGTTGTGCCTCCTTGGTTGGCAGGCACATGGCACGCTTGGTCACGCTTGCGCGCTGGAGAGCAGAAGAAGCTTGAAGCCAAAGAGGCCAGCCTGTTGTGTCCCCCCGTCCATCAAAGTGACTTCTTTGACTGGACCCGTGTCAGTATTCTTGCAGGATTTTCCTGTTCATGTTCAGTGTAGTTTAGCGCCAGCTCCAGCCTTCCAAATTGATGAGCGAGACAAACACTGCTTGAATGGTCTCCAAGTGCTTGAAATGAGGTTCTCAGTAATCCCTCGGAAACCTGTCTCGGTCCCGCTCTTTCGGGGTCGCGGTGTGTAGAGCAGACTGACGCCTTCCGGGACCATTCCATTCAAAGCGCTGCCTTCCAGGTGAGCCTCATCTCAGAACCTTGCGAAGCCTCGTGGCACGGATTGTTGTTGCCCTTGGTTTGACCTTGTGCATTGTAGCCTTCACAGCATCGTTGGATGTGAGTAGTTAGCTCTTGGTGGCTTTGTCTAAGATTGCGAAAGAACCCGATAGGGTCTTTCGCAATTGGAGCTTCGTGTTGCAAAGCTCATTCAGTGCACAGATTGGTGCACCTCGGTTGGTTCTTTCTCTGAATTGCAGTAAGGAGCTCAGCTCTTTCTGACGATCAGACTGCCTGTGGCGCCCGTACTGCTCATCACAGCGAAGGGAAGTTTATGGCTTATGCCCGTTTTGCACAAAGTCGCTTTTCAATTAGCTTTCAACGCAACGGCCGGTGTGCGGCGACTAGTGACTTATAAAGATGGCCACAACAAGCGGCCAATCAGAATCATGTCTGCGCGACTCCCCTTGCTTCGACTCGAGGCATTGGAAGTTGGTAGCGGCATGGCTTGGAGGTACGTAGGCATGTAGTACAATGCTGCGTGCGTTAGGAAATGCTGATCCGTGTTGGCCGCACAAAATGCTGATCTCGCGTGTTGGATTCTTGCATCTCCATGGGCGGCTGCCATAGCCCATCCAAGCTCACATGCATTTGAGTAGCTTTCAGGAATCATTTTGCTTGCTCAGCAAGGTTCCAGAGAAGAAATGATAACAACATGCTTGCCGTTGAATGACCCTTATAAACCATCCCTTGTGGTTTCCCACATTCCCACATTCCCCACCTATCGTGCCAGCAACTTTGAGCATGTGCTCGCAGGATCCTTACCGAGCTGCTTTGCAGCGGAAAGTAGCTGATGACCATGCCTTAGGGGCTATCAAGGGACAGCTGGATGTGAAATCCGCAAAATGGGGCAGCGTACAATCACCTGTGACGGATTCCCGAACCGAAAATCAGAGAAAGTGGCTTTGATCTTCTGTGGCAGGCTTGGCATTGCAGATTCGGCAGGGTGGGAGCAATTGTTTCATTTCTCCCGCGAATGCTTTGCCCCGTTTCTGGCCCTCCGAGGACATCATCCAGCGCCTCTCGGCGACTTTGCGCAGAGGCGGGTGGCCCATCTGACTTCCCTTGAATCGCTCATGGCTTCTGAAACAAAGGATGGCCCAACCAAATCGTATTTTGAGCGCTACAAGAATGCCTTGATGTCTTGCTTGTGCACGATGCCAGGTGGGTACCGCCCAGAAGACCTGTTCAGCAGCTTGGCCTGCAATATTGCCCAAACTGAAACTGTGCAGAGAATAGCAACGATTTCTGAGGTACGTTTTTTTGTTCTCTTTTTTTTGGTTTCTTTTGATTTCCCCTCTTTTTTGTTCTCGCAAGTTAATTTAGTGGGGAGAGGGACATGATTTTATTGAACATGTGCACCGAGCCACACGTTACGGTGTTCAAATGCATTTGTGTTTGCACAGCCATTTCAGAATCAGTTGAGCAGATTCATTCAGCAGGCGCCAATGTCAGGTCAGCTTACCTGAGGCAAGCTAGATGCAGATGGGAGTGGACATCTATCCCGACAAGAGCCAGCCGCCTTAGAATTACTCAGTCAGACCAGCATTGTTAAGAGTGGGGTTTAGATCAAGCACTGGCAGGCTGGGCAGTTCAGCAGCAATACAGTAAGCGTCCTTTTCCTTTGCCAACCCAAGCAAAGGCAAAGGCATTGCTGCAATTTGCCGACGAATCTTACAGGCACTTGAACATGACCTTCCGTCACAAGCCAGCATATTCGCATATTCCATGAGCCATGTATTCGCCGAGGTTGCTAAGCATCATCTTGCGTTTGGAGCCAGGCGCCCTGCAGATTTGAAGCTGGCAGAAGCCTTTCAACTTCCTGGAAAGGAGCCTGACACTTGATGTGCAGCCCTCATTCGATTCAGTAGCGAATCGTGGCAAATCGATCCAAGGCAATCAACAGTATGCAAATTCCTGTGCATTTGTTAGTTTGCCAAGAGGCCTCACGGCCGAAGGGGCGAACGTGAGATCCAAGCAAGTGCCACCAAGGGTGTTGATGAGCTCCAAAACCACGCCCATCCACGCCCCGAACTGCAATGTTTGTCCAGCAAATGTTCATCCAATGCCAGACTCAAACGCTGAATGTATACATCCAGGTATAAAACCCCTGGCATGAACCCCCTAATTTGTGGGTTAATTATGTGGCTTAATTATGGGAAATCAGCCCCCAAGAGTCCAAAATGGCCACGGGTCATAAAAGAACCTACACATAGCCTTTGAAAAACAATGTTCAAACTTTGAGAAATCTTTTAGAAGATGCAGACTCGAGGCTCCTCGTTGGAGGGGTTCCTACTTGCATTGGCACACACACACACACACCTAGCTGCACAAGTTATTTCAGCGCATGCTTGGCAGACAAGTTAGGATTCCTGCCTGCTATTCTTGCCAATGGAGGGAATTTGAATTGCCAGGCTATTTGTTCAGCAACACGTGCAGGGTGTTGTGGCTGGTCAGTGCAATTTGTGGCCAGGCTTGTCACCGGCAGAGCAAGACGCCGTTTTTCAGTGCTTCGATGCTGCCGAGGGCTGATTTAGAGATCCAGTGCCATGCGCATTTGCCCCACGAGCGAGGCAAGCGACATAGCTGGACATGATTTAGCGGCCTAGGATGGAAGTGGCGGTGTCTCTTGGTCTGAGTTCTGGCAGACGATTCAAGGAGGCGCAGAGAAGGGTATTTGCTCGTAGCTTTTCTGAAGGCCAAGCCATGCTCAGGCGCAGCGATGGCTTCCCAGCCACTAGCACAGACACTGCCACCGACAGCGTCGGCCATGCCATTGGCACCGCTATCAGGCAACGAAAGGGGCTGCTTTCAGGGTCGCAAAGCCATGCCTCTGACTCTGTGTTTCAGCAGGGGTCATGGGGTCATCAGCTCAAATATATAGACTTCTCTACCATTCCTGGAGCCACACGGCCTGCGCCCGCCTGGGAGGCATGCCATTGTCCGCAACAGCGGCGGCAAGCTTAGAGAGATCGCTGTGCCTTCACGGGTGGCTCATCTCTTTTCGAGGGGGCCCTTTTTGGGGTTGATTCAACGTGAAACCAAAAGGACAGCAACCTCGGGGTACCCGTATTTGAGACAAACCCTTATGGTTTCGTCGTTCTACGCAACTGAAAATCTGCCCCTGTGAAGCAACCTGCAAGTGTGAGCAAAGCCTGAGGTTCCAGCACATGCTGCTGTTCAGACTGGTTTCGACAAAACCATCCACCCTCAGGCGCGTTGCAGCCAGAGCTTGCCAGCATTCCCTGTGACCCCCTTGCGGTTTTTTGAGCATGTTTCCTCAAGCGGTTGTCGCACGGTCAAAATGGAGGCAATCTTGCTCATACACCCCATCAAGCGATGAGGGTTCCGCCTTCAACTGGTACGTACATCCCAAGTGTTCGACATCATGTGAGCCTGTTTGAGTCTCTAATCTTGCTGGATCTTGCTGGTTCTCAGCAAGGAATGGGAATGATCCAAAAAGAGAAAAGCAATCCCCTATGGTTTCCTTTGAGGGAATTTCGAGGTTCATTCCCAACACCCTGGGTCAGTCACTGATTGGGTCGCGGAGATCCAGCTCGAGCGACCTCGCAGGAGCTCCAACGACAACGCATGTTGGCTGAGGAGCCGTGATGGCATTCTCAGCCCAAGTGCAACCGGATATGGTAACAACATTTCCCCAGCTGAAATGCTTGCCCAGGACTACCTTTCCTGTCACCCCTTTGGGCTTTGGGGTGGTTTGAGGCTCTCAGGGAGGGTTCCGGAACGTTCCCGGGATTCCCGACATTGTTGGGGATACCACTGGGCTGTTGGGGATACCACCGGGGCAAATTTAAAGCTGTGACAGTGCGGCGTAAATTCCTCTGCGCGCGCAGGAAATTCTTGGCCGCATCGCTGCCACGATCTCGCGCACCGGCCGAAGGTCGCGGCTGGGGAACTGAGCAAAGGAAGTTGGGCGTGCCTTTTTTGGGGAACCCTTTTTGGGATGGTGTCAAAGGAAGCCGGAAAGAACACCACATCCCCCTTAAAAAAGACCCCCAGTTCGCCGATTCCCAGTTCTATGCCGCCTGCTTGAGGCGAGTGGCTGAGGGGCATCGTACATAGATTCTCTTTGCAGCTTCAAACGGATTGCATGGCAGGCCGCAGGATTTTTTGCGCGATGTGCGGGGCACTCTTTTTCGAGCAGAGTGGCCACCTCAGCATAACTTTGATTGCTCGTCCGCTTGAGGCTTGTGGCTGGGTTGCAAGTCGGGGTCGCGCTGAGGGTGGAGCAGACCCTCTTCCGCTTCGAGCGTTGCCTTGAGTGGTTCGCATCTCTTTTACGATAGAAGCACCATCAATGTGAGGCCAAACCTGACAGCATACGAGCGGGATGCAGTCATGCAACGTTTGGGTGCTGATGGCAGCTCGGCTGCACACACTTGGGGAAACCACGAAAAGTTGACGTTCACCACCAAACAAGTTACCCGTGGTCATTTTGAAGCCGAACGGACTATGAATATTGATGCTATTTGACTATGTCCCCCGCGCGCGAGTCAAAATCGTAGCAACAACGCAGCCATGCAGCAAGAAGTTTTGCCCAAAGCCGGCGCGAGAGTGCAAGATGCCCCAAACGTGGAGTTCGGTCGGCTGATTAAGCTGACATTGAGTTGAGTTCCAGTGGCGAGTATAGTCACTGCAGAAATGTCTGAGGTCATGGCAATGTGGATGCAACAGAGCTATGTCGCATACTAGGAGGCGCGCGAACAACTATCGATGATTGCCATGGAGCAAGCGAATGGGGTCTACGTCGCGGCGCAGGCGACTTGTCGCGCACGCTAGATCCTCGCGCGGCTGAGCTGCATTGCTTGAAGACGGGCGGCGTGGGCCTATGAGGCATGCTTCTGAGGCGCTGCCTGCGGAGATTCCAGTTGGCATGGCGCCACAGGACTCAGCCCAAAGCCAACCGACCTTTTCACCTTTTGGTTTGCCAAATCTTGGTCCATTGTTAGTCATGCCCCCAACAGGCTAGCCTTTTATTTCCAGAGCCTTTGGGGGACTGAGAGGACATGATGCTTGTGCATGCGACAGATTTTGCCAGCGTGGCCAGGGCTCAGTTCTCGAGAGAGTTTTGCTCAGGAGCTACTGCGACAAGTCGCTGCAGAGCTGCGTCGCAGCGGGGCAGCGGCCTTCAGATTTGGGCGTGGGTCAAAATTAAACTACCAGGGGACCGCTGGTTTTAGTCCATGTTTCCATTTACCAGGGTTCCATTTTGGGGCTACCGTATTTTTGGCCCACAGCCATTCGTTGAAAGTGAGTCGGCCCAAACTTTGCGAATGTCAAGTTAAAAGGTTCCGCCCGCTTCTTGTTGGTGACCTCAAATGGCGGTAGACATGAAACGAGGCCACTTAACTGAGTGTCGGGGCAAGAGTTGTTTGACAATGAGCAAACCATGTCAGTAAATGTGTAACATGTTCCTAAGCAGACTGCATATTTGAAGCATATGGCAGGATTGCAACACTACCCCTGGTGCGGGAAGCATGAAGGCAGAAAGCAGCAATTTGTGGGGGGGACTCTTGCGGAATTTGGCTCAAGGGGGTGTTTAAGCCAGGGGGCAAGGCCCCGAAGGCAGGGTCAGGGGGAAGCGGACTGTGGCGTGGGTTATGCCTTGCGAAGCTAGAGCAAATGTGTGAAGTGAGTTCTCCTTTGAAGAGGCCCGCCCAAGTACATGGTCGGCACACAAACTAGACACAAACTGTGTGCGACATCGTGAGAAGGGTAGATGAGCTTGACGCATGCTGTCCCGCTGCGTTAACATTTGCTGCCACCCCAAATTTGGGCGCAGCAAATCCTCAACCAACATAGCCGTTCAGGCTCGCAGAGGTGATCGAAAGTACAAGATCACAGTACAAGAGAACTGCAGTGCTAGCTGTACGATGGTTATTTTGCCATGCCAAAAAACGGTTGGCACAGGATACTTGACGGCCTGCCTTTTCGGAGCTATTGGTGGTTGACCTAGCTTTCCTTGCACTTAGTTTGTTCCCGGCTCGCCGTCGCAATGGCTCATTGGTGCCATGGGCGCCGCGTGCATGAAATCGTTGCCGGTCATGCCGGAACGCGAGCTCAAGCCAGGAGACCCACTGAGAGCCCCCAGCATTCACTACTTGGCGACTCTCGGTGGGAGTCCCCTTTCTTCTTTTTTTTGGTTTGAGGAGGCCACTGGTTTTGGTCAGCTAGAAAAAAGGACACTGGGAAAACCAATGCCAATTCCAGTCGCCTATTTTGAGGCTTCCTGACTTGGGCCTGAGCTTTGGATTCAGCTTCAAGGCAATTTTTGAGGTTCAGATGTAGCTTTGCATCAGCCCATCAGCCCAAGGACAGGTTTTTGCCAAGAAGTGGAGCGCATAGGCAAGATCACCGACTGTATCTACGAGCTGGACGAGCCTTTGATCCGCGCCAAGGGCGCTGACGCAATTTGCCCCAGGCCGAAAGTTTCTTGGTCCGTGTGTGTCTTAATGTGTGTGTGTGCTTTGTGTGTGTGTGTGTGTGTTTGTGTGTGTGTGTGTGTGTTTGTGTGTGTGTCGTTGTGTGTGTGTGTGTGTTTGTGTGTCTGTGTGTGTGTGTGTGTTTGTGTGTGTGTGTTTGTGTGTGTGTGTTTGTGTGTTTGCGTGTTTGTGTGTTTGCGTGTTTGTGTGTGTTTTCGTGTTTGTGTGTTTGCGTGTTTGTGTGTGTGTGTGTGGTTGAGTGTGTGTGTGTGTGTTTGTGTGTGTGTGTGTGTGTGTTTGTGTGTGTGTGTTTGTGTGTGTGTCTTTGTGTGTGTGTGTGTGTGTGTTTGTGTGTGTGTGTGTGTTTGTGTGTGTTTGTGTTTGTGTGTGTTTGTGTGTTTGCGTGTTTGTGTGTTTGCGTGTTTGTGTGTTTGCGTGTTTGTGTGTTTGCTTTGTGTGTGTGTGTTTGTGTG